CGTGCACTCTTGCCTTAGCTATACCGTATCCACATTCCATTTACAGTCACCTCCTAACCTCTTCACCTTTCACATTATCATTTTGAAGCAAAACCCCAAAATATTTCAGCATGTATTTCCAGAAGGAAAGGGTTATTTTTAATCAAAAACATCCTACCCTATCATACATAAACATTTAGCAAAAATTTTTAATATCATCCATATTTAAATATTCAGCCAGTGCAAATTTATAATTCCTTATTAAAATGTCATGTTTTTTTATTGGAGTAAATTACTCTACAGTGTTGCATTAGTTTTTCTTGTACAACAACGTGAATCTGCCAAATGTATACATACAGCCCCTCCTTCTTGAGCCTCCCTCCCACGCCCCCATCCCACCCCTCCAGGTCATCACAGATGTCATTATGTTTTAAAAGATGTCTTTGAAATCATTATCAAAATTAGGTCTATACATTGCGATTGATTAATTGATTGATATGCCTTTTAAATCTTTCTAATTTTATAGGCAGTCTCTGCTTCTCATTCTGAGACAATTTATTTGTTGGAGAAATCAAATTGTCAGTTTTCCACAGTATGAATTTTGCAAATTATATGCTTGTGATATAATTTAACATGTTCATTATCTTCTGTGCACATATAATCTACAATATGAGTTTACTCCCAACTGTACATTTTAAATATTTTTATAGTCAATACCTTTCACTTGAAAGAATGATTCTGTGAGGGTGGGGTCTGAGGTTTGTCATGCTTCCTAACGACTACCTATTGTGTTTATGACTATTATTGACCCCATGAAAAACATGACTTCAAGAATGTTGAATAAGTGAAAGAAAAAATATATTACTTTCTTATAATTTTAAGGTATCTTAAGGAATGGAAGGGTAGCAATTACTAGGAAAGGCAAAGCAAAGGTGTAAGGGAGAGACTGAATTAAAAAACAGACTCTCGAGGAAGAGACGTTGGGTGAGACTTACGGTTCCACAGAATCCGAGGCGCTGGTAGAAAACCAAATGAGGAGAAATAGCAGGAGACACGAGTGAAGAAGTTTGCCTTCCCCCATAGTGAGGGACAAACTGCAGGTATCGTGTCGTGCCCAGCTCCTGCCTTCAGCCTAGTCCTTGAGACCTTTCAAATTTAGCAGACTTTATATGCTATTTGCAAACAAGCTCCACCTAGTGCCTCCAAATGTAGTTCATGTTTGGACACAGATTCCCCGAAAGGGTTGATGCTCTCAGCGATTGCTTCATTAGTCTCAAGGCTAAACTCTGTCTGACAGGCTCTGAGTCATTTCCAGACAATAAAAATTTATGTTCCAGTGAGAATTAACCTTCTTTAACTTTGACAGCAAAGCTCCTGAGGAGGAACTTTCAACCCATCCTTCTTCAAAATTCTTGCAAGTAGGTGTCAAAGAGAGCTACCTTTGAGGGTCATGGGATGTGTCATTACACCAGTAACTCATTCAATGACTTTAAGGGGACTACTTGACAGAGGATTGAGTAAGCTGCTCTGGAGAAAGTAATTCAAAAGAAATGCCTGTGCTTGACGAAAATTGCAGGTGTTCTCCCTGCCTTCTTCATCCCCATCACCTTATCACGACCCACCCATCTAGCACTCTCTCCTAGCCTTCCTCAAGCTGCAGCCAAGCCCTGCTCCCAATACCCTTCCCCTATATCACTAACACTGTGGATCCACCCCACCCTCAACATTCTCCTGCAGTCTTGCTAAGGCTGGGCAGTAGACACAGTTCGCACAGGACACCTCTTGATCACCTGGTGCTGGTGGTCAGAGGGACTAACCTCCCCAGGCCCCACAGGTCTGTAATGATTGAAAAGATAGTTCTAGGCAGGCTGTCACACCCAGGGCATTGCACAGATAGCAGAAAAAAAATTATCCATAGTCTGCCTGTGAAAAAGACATTTACTTGTCCTGGAGCTTCAACCTTAGGTATAGGCTTCAGCATTGCTGCTCATTGAGAGGCTGCAGATGCACTTGAAGGGAACATGGGCAGGAAGATGCAGTCTTTGTACCCTCCCATTGTTGCATCCTCCCCTGGCCTTGGCATGACTTGCTGGGATCTTCCAGCAACGAGCTTATACACTCATAGGAAGGCTTAGTTCTGGCAACTATTGCCCAGAAACACTCCCAAATCTCCTGGTCTGGAGGTCAGCAGGGATTGCAGACCCACAGGACTATTTACGTATTTTAACAGCTGTTGCCTGAGGATCTGGCTTTCAATCTGTCTGAAACTAGGCTCTGACTCTGGGAGCAAGCTTTTTGGAACACTGACAGGTCTTAAAACACCCTCAACAACTGGGACCCATCAGGAATAAATCAGGCTGCTTAACACTGATTTGAGACAACCAAGAACTAGGGTGAGGATAAATGATAAGTTTCATCTCCTAGTCAGGACACTCCTTCAGTGGGAAAGTAGGCTGTTTTACTTAGTATGCAGACTCAAACAGAGAGTCAAGCAAAATGAGGAAATGGGGGAAGATGCTTCAAATGAAAGAACAAAACAAAACCTCAGAAAAAAAATCTTAACAAAATGGAGATACCTATGGCTGATTCATGTTGATGTATGACAAAAATCATCACAATATTGTAAAGTAATTATCCTCCAATTAAAATAAATTAATTAATTTTAAAAATGGAGATACATAAATTATCTGAAAAAAAACAGTTCAAAAGAATAGTTGAAAAATGCTCACTGAACTTGAGGAAGAATGGATGAACACAGCGAGAGCTTCAGCAAAGATAAATAAGAAAGTGCTGAACAGAAGTCATAGAGCTGAAGAATATAATAACTGAACTGAAAATAGGCTCGAGGGGTTCAACGGAAGATGAAGTGGAGCAAAAGACAGGATCAGTGACCTGAAAGAGCAGTGGAACTCATCCAAATAGAGCAGCAAAGAGAAAAGAGAATATTGAAAGAGTGGAGGCAGGTAGAGTTCCTATGGGACAACATCAAGCAGAATATCATTCACATTAAAGGAGTCCCAGAAGGAGAAGACAGAGAGAAAGAGTCTGAAAATTTGAGAAATAATGGCTGAAAATGTCCCTAACAAAGGGGAAGAAACAGATACAGGAAGCACAGGTACAGGAAGCACAGAGTTCCTAATGAGAGGAACCAAAGAGATCTCTACCAAGGCATGTTATAATTAAAATCAAAAGTTCAAGAGAGAATCTTAAAAACAGCAAGAGAAGGAAAAAAAAAAAAGACGTTGTTATGTACAAGGGAACTTCCATTGGGCTATCAGCTGAGTTTTCAGCAGAAACTCTGCAGGTCAGAAGGGAGTATCAGGATATATTTAAAGTTGTGAAGGAAAAAACTTCTCACTAAGAATCTACCCAGAAAGGCCACCATTTAGAACTGAAGGAAAGAGAAAAAGTTTTCCGTAGAAGCAAAAGCTAAAGGAGTTTATCACCACAAAACCTGCTTTACAGGAAATGTTAAAGGGACTTCTTTAAGCTGAAAAGATACTGATAACTTGAAAATGTATGTAAATAAAAATCTAACTCGTAAAGGCAAGTAAATACTAAAGACAGTGGTTAACTGTGGGTTATTGGTACTAGCGGCTCAGGTTTTTTATGACATTTTTAACTTTAAAAGCAAATATACTTCATGAAAAATAATGCTTCGCCTAAGATCAAGCAGAATAAGAATTACTAGGGCTGAATGAACAAGGAGGGAAATTAAAATGTAGATATTTATTTAGAATATGATAGGTCTTTATCCCCCTGGAGGAGGAAACAGCAACCCATTGCAGTATTCTTGCCTGAAAAATCCCATGGACAGAGGTGCCTGGCAGGGTACAGTCCAAAAGTGTTAGACACAAGTAAGCAACTCAACACACAAACACACAAAGGTATTTTTTAAATGTATTTTTAACAAATATAGGGAAAAGTTCTTCCTCTTTCTTTTTAAAAAAACACTTTATTTCTTTATTTTTGGCTGTGCTATGTGGGCTTCTCTTTAGTTTCAGTGAGCGGAGGCTGCTCTCTAGTTGAGGTGCCCAGACTTCTCTTCTTGTGGAGCACAGGCTCTCAGGCATGTAGGCTTCAGTAGTTGTGGCTCCAGGGTTTTAGAACACAGGCTCAGTAGTTGTGTCACACAGGCTTAGTTGTTCCTCAGAATGTTGGATCTTCCCCGACCAGGAACTGAACCCGCGTCTCCTGCATTGGCAGGCAGATTCTTTACCCCTGAGCCACCAGGGAAGCCCTTCCTTTTTTTGCTGTATATCTAGCACCCAATTTAGTAGATTCTGTTTCTGTAGATGGAGACAAAGCATTTAAAAATGGTATCTGATTTGCACTAACTCCTTAAAATTCAGAACAAAAGCTTACTGAAAAAGTAAAAATATCTCCATAATTTTCATGGCAACATAGTTAATTGTATTAGTTTAATAAGAATCTGTCTTTTAAAAAAAAATCTAGACATAATTGGACAGATTGATTGTGTAATTAAGGCCTACCAGAAAAATAATTTTTGAAAATAAGTCTTATTTAATCAGTCATGACAAGCTCACAATAGATAAATATGGGTGGAGTCAATATTTTTGAAGTCTTCCAAAGGAAACTGACATGGTACGACATATAGGTTACCAGCCTCATACATAAAGAAAATTGTTTCCTGGCAGGCCAAGGATCTTGGTAATTTGGGCGGGGTGGCTCCTAGAGGAGAGGAATTCCTCTGACTTTGTAGTTACTGCAGGTAATAAAACAAGTTTTCAGTTCAGTCGTTCAGTCGTGTCCAACTCTTGGTGACTCCATGGACTGCAGCACGCGAGGCTTCCCTGTCCATCACCAACTTCCCGAGCTTGCGCAAACTCATGTCCATAGAGTCAGTGATGCCATCCAACCATCTTATTCTCTGCCGTTCCCTTCTCCTCCTGCCTTCAACCTTTCCCAGCATAAGAGTCTTTTCCAGTGAGTCAGTTCTTCACATCAGGTGGCCAAAGTATTGGAGCTTCGGTTTCAGCATCAGTCCTTCCAATGAAAATTCAGGACTGATTTCCTTTAGGATTGACTGGTTTGATCTCCTTGCAGTCCAAGGGATTCTTGAGAGTCTTCTCCAACACCACAGTTCAAGAGGATCAGTTCTTCGGTGCTCAGCTTTCTTTATGGTCCAACTCTCACACCCATGTATGACTACTAGAAAAACCATAGCTTTGACTAGATGGACCTTTGTCGACAAAGTAATGTCTCTGCTTTTTAACATGCTTTTAATCTGCTTTTAAAATATATCATAGCTTTTCTTTCTTTCAAGGAGCAAGAGTCTTATGGTTTCATGGCTGCAGTCACCATCTGCAGTGATTTTAGAGCCCAAGAAAATAAACCCTGTCACTGTTTTCAAGTTTTAGAGGTTCTTAAAAGTTTAAACCAAAACACTAATTTGCAAAGATATATCCAGCCTAATGTTCACTTCAGCATTATCTACAACAGCTAAATTATGGATGCAATCTAAATGCCCATTGATAGATAAATGGCTAAAGAATGGCATATTACTTGGCAGAAGAAAAAAAGAAATCTTGCCGTTTGACAAACATTAGTGAACTTAGATGTATTATGCTAAGTGAAATAAATCAGACAGAGAAAGACAAACACTGTATGATCTTATATGTGTGTGTTTGTTGTTCAGTCATGTCTGACTCTTTGTGACCCAGTGGACCTGAGCTTAGGAGGCTCCTCTGTCCATGGGTATTCTCCTGGCAAGAATACTGGAGTGGGTTGCCAATTCCTTCTCCAGGGCATCTTCCCAACCCAGGAATCAAACCCAGGTCTCCCACATTGCAGGCAGATTCTTTATTGTCTGAGCCACCAGGGTCAATCCAACTTGTATGAGGAATCTAAAAACTCATAAATAGAGAGAGCAAACTGGTGGTTGCCAGAGAAAGGGTGGGTGGGGGGTTGGGTGAAACAGGTGAAGGAGGTTAAGAGGTCCAAAACTGGTTATAAAATAAATGTCATGGGGATGTAATACATAGCATAAGCAAGATAGTCAATAATACTGTAATAATTTTGTATGGTAACAGATGGTTATGAGACTTACTGTGGTGATCATTTTAAAATATATTTAAATGCCAAATCATTATGATGTATACCTGAAACTAACATAATATTGCACATCAATTATACTTCAATTAAAAAAGAAAGATTTTCAGCAATACTGCTTTGTATTAAATACTAATAAACATTTTTTGAAAAGCTGTACTAGAGCAGATTAAAATCTATAAAGCAGTCTTTTTACCCACATTTGCATGAAGTCTAGCAATATTCATGACTCATAGATTTATTAATTTATATCATGGATTATTTTATTTTCTGGCGTGAGTTGCCATTTCCTCTTCCATGGGATTTTCCTGACCCAGGGATCAAACCCGTGTCTCCTTTGTCTCCTGCATTAGCAGATGAATTCTTTACCACTGAGTCACCTGGGAAGCTGGCAAATTTTGCTTCAAGTCCTAATAAATAACCAAAATTCCTTCTTATTTCTCTGACTTTGGAAAAGTATGAAAATCTGTTTTATATGTTTGTGAAACAGTAAGCAATTCAAGTCAGGTTTGAGTGAAGATGATCTTTCTGGCTCATTTTCTCTACTGGTATGTGCTAAAACCTTTGCATTATTCCATTTCTCCTCTATCTGTCTGCTTGTGGGAATATGCTCACTCTGCACTGACCCAATTTTTTCACTGTCTACTACATTCCCAGAACTGTGTTGGGTGAACAAGCAGCAGACATGATAAATATACAGGTCTGAATTTCAAAGAAGTCTGACTATACAGAAGAGGGGGAAAAATAATTTTTTAAGGTGTGGAATTGTTCAAGTTGAAAGAGAGATATTTGTGCTAAACCATCAGAAGCATGAAAAGAGAACAGTTCTGCACAAAGATCAGAAAAAAACTTGCTTTCTTTTTCCTGCCATTGCCTAGAAGATGGACTACCTATAGTACAACTCTGAAATAATTCTCCTTTCAAAAACCTTTCAGTGGTTTTCATAAACAAATGACAATTATTGTTCTAGTCTTTACTTATTTTGTAATTTTATTTTTGCCTTTATCTTTTAATTTGTCTATTTGTATACATTTTATCGGGTTTCCCAGATGGCACTAGTGGTAAAGAACCCACCTGCCAATGCAAGAGACATAAGAGATGAGGGTTCAATCCCTGGGTCAGGAAGATCCCCTGGAAGAGGGCATGGCAGTACAGCTACTCCAGTGTTCTTGGCTGGGAAATCCCATGGACAGAGGAACCTGGCAGGCTAGGGTCCACAGGGTCGCAAAGAGTCAGACATGACTGAGGGAACTTAAGGACACACACATGCATACATTTTATTATTCTTTCAACTTATTTTTGCTCTTCATGCCCATGAAATTAATCTTTAATTTTCATTTTGTAGTTCAGTCCAAATTCAGAAATTAAGTCCGAATTAGAATTCACTTCTTGTGAGTTGAATAAATGAAGATAAGGTGTGTCTGACTAAGGAAGGCTAAATATTGTAAAAAAAACCCTGACATTCATAATCATTATACATTTATTTATATTCAGTGAATTGCCAGACAATACCCAATGTGACTATAGGGATAACTCATATCATAAAAAAATTTCAAAATTTTACCTGGAATAAATGATAAGCTTAGTATTTAAAAGAAAAGGTGAGAACTGACCAGCTGAATAATTACAACATTTCATTCAGCCACAGTAATTCAAATATTTTAGTATGTATGAAAGAATAAACTGGTTAATCAGTGAAATAGAATAAATCACTTAGAAACAAATTTTAAAATATATAATTTAATTTGTGATAAAGGAGTCACTTTTTATTAGCAGGGAAATATTGAATTGGTTAATAAATGATAATGGGACTATTAGAAGGCTACATAAGTGAGAAAAACAGTCAATTTAGATATCAACTCATATAGCACACAATAGACAACAAAATAATTTGAGATGGAATTAAATGTAAAAATTCAAACCAGGACTTTTGCTTCCACACATGCAGGATTTCTTCAGCACAAAGGTCTCTCTAATGTAATCCCTTTATAATTCACACCCCTTTTCCCATTTCCCTAGCACCCATAACCCCTGGAAACCACTCATTTATCTTCCATTTCTATGGTTTTGTCATTTCAAGAATGTTTTATGAAAGGAGTCATACAGTGTGACCTTTTGAGGTTGTATTTCTTTTCACTCAGTGTAAAGTTTTCGAGATCCATCCAAGTTGTTGCTCGTATCAGTACTTTGTCCTTCTTTATTAGTGAGTAGCATTCCATGGTATGGATGTACCACAGCTAGTTTGATGGACATTTTGGTTGTTTCCAATATTTAGAAATATTGTTTTCTTTCCCCCATCTTCTGGGAAAGCATATTTTGGAATTTAATTTTTAATTATCTACAGGTTTTTTTGTGTGTACCTCTTTGTGCAGTTTTTCTGTATTTTTAAAAACACTATGGGGACTTCCCTGGTGTCCAGTGGTTAACATACTGTGCTTCCACTGTGTGGGGCAAGTGTTAGATCCCTAGTTTGGGAACTAAGATCCTGCATGCCATGTGGAATGGCCAGAAAAAAAAAAACAAAACACTGTGGAGAATAGATACATATTTCAGAAGGAAAATATAACATTGATAAAAAGATAGAGTTATGAATGTCAAGTTTATTCAACATACAAATTTAGCATACTTCCAGTTCCTGTCCCTTCTTTCTCCTACTGTCCTCGCTTCTGGTAAGTCTTTGTTCTTTGTTTCTGGAGTAGGTCATCTGATGAGGTCCACAAGTTACCATCTTCAATCACTTCTATGTTCAGATTCTAAACAGTAAAGAAAAGATAGAAATATTAGGAAAATTTTGTGATCTAATAAAGGGATAATTTTTCATATTTTAATGATAAATATTTGAACTTAGTATGCTTATTTATTTTTATCGATAAGGTTGTTCTCAGTTTTTCCATGTTTTAAAGTGGAGAGTGGAAGGTCTCATAACAAGTGTTGTATTGTCAGAGTTGAGCTCTGTCAATCAGTCTAAAGGAACATCTTATGGATGTTCTTATGCAGTATTATATGGACAATTTTAGAGTGAAAAGTTGCATGACTTTAGCTTGTATAAGTTTAGAAACATCTCAGAAAGACCATGGGTGATAAATATATCACCGCTGAGCATAGAAATGTAAACTAAATATTAGATGATTTAGCTTTTATATGTGGCAAATTCCTGGATTCATCCTCAAACAAGTCAACCCAGATACATGTATTATACTTTACTTGCATTTTTTCCTACTGTGAAAGTCTATAATACATCTGAGACAGTTCAAATCATAAATGATTCACCAAGGAGTTTTATAATATGGTAAGGGAATGCTCAAGAAGCAGCTTTAAGCAGAAAACAAATGTTTATTTATTTTCTTTTCATTAGCATCAGATTTTACTGTCTAGACTTTACCAGCACTGCAGGGAACACTGTACTCTTCAATGGTGAATTCCTCTGAAATGCAAAAAGAATGAGACAGAGTGAAGACAGACATGCAGTAATAGGCACTTGAGTAGTTAACTGTAAATAAACTGTGTAAGCTATGAAAGAAAGTATAAAGCATAGTTATAGAGCCAATAAAAGGACTTCTTTTGTACTAAGCCGCTTGGGATTGGTTGGTGGGAAGTAAGAGAAAGTTGGGCTTGGATACAAAGTTCACAGATGGATAACTGTCTTTCTGTAGGACACTGTATAACCCTTTTTCACAATTATGTTTTTCTTATTGGAGTTGTACCTTCCACTCTGAACCTTTTCTTTTCTAAGAAAGAGTTAAGTTGGAATGCTACCAGCAAGCTAAGATGCTGGTAAGTTTCTAGTTCAGAGTCATGAGCAAATCAAAGAATTTCCTGATATATTACACAGTTTCCCCAAATTTGTTACTCTACAAGGCCCAGGTGAAAAATAGATCAAATTTTGGGTCTCATAGCACACATTAGTACTGAGAAGTGGCTTTTTAAAGTTATTGCTACCCTTCTTTCCTTTCTGGAAAAATTCAGTGTAGAACAAACAACTTCATGGGGGAATTTAGAAAGAACTGATCCCCTTATTGCTTTATGATCAGTTTATAAGAATGACTCTAATACTTGCTTGGGGATAAGTATTACTAATAAGATTATCCTGTGAGCATAAACTCACTCTTTCTTCCAGTGAGAGATTGTGGAGTTTTCTTTCAGTTATGGTGACACTATCCTAGATTAGTCATTTTTTTCCTTTCAAGGCTTGGCATGTCTGAATCTCACTCACCTGTCTCATAGTAATCATATGCCTTTACGGTAGCTGGTTTTAAATTCTTTACTGCGATGTCTTGTTCCACTGAGAAGGAGAAACTCAGGATTTGATGGATTAACTGGAGAGACAGGAAAACTGAATTGGAATCAAAGATTAACTGAGTCTCTCTTTCCCTAAGACATTATCAGACCCTGTACTTATGCTATTCTCTGTACCAAAACCTATGAAAAGAACGAGATGGCTTCAGACTTGTATAATACATTCAAGGACAGATAAGAGAAGGGCAAGAAGACAATTCTACAGACAGTTAAATGTAGTAAATCAAGCCTGTTGACTTGGCCAGGATTCATTTTCCTCTATAGCTATTTTCTTCCCCTACCCCTTTCATACATGAAATACAAGGGAGTTTTATAACATGGGGCTTTCATGGAGGCTCAGATGGTAAAAAATCTGCCTACTATGTGGGAGACCCGGCTTCAATCCCTGGGTCAGGAAGATTCCTCTGGAGGAGGGAATGGCAAGCCACTCCAGCATTCTTGCCTGGAGAATCTCTTGGATGGACAGAAGAGCTTGGTAAGCTGTAGTCTGTGGGGTTGTAAAGAGTCGAACACGACTGAATGACTAACACTTACACCAGAGACTTTTGTAATATGGTAAGCTGTGTATGTAAAGTACACTCTTTGGAACCTGGGTTGGATTGTTAGAACCTCTAGTGGCTCTCCTGGACCTAGCAGAGTTACAGACTCTTACCTCTTCAAAGTAAATCAGGACATGGTTGGCGTTCACTTCAGTCCTCTGAATCTGAGCCATTTCCTGGAGCTGTAGATGCAGAGGATAAACCAAAGGGTGTGAGATGAGGGACTTTCAGGTTGAGATAGTCTTCAGATATTTATGTTCTAAATGGCTTCTCAGAACATCACACTCTAATTTGATCTCCTCAAGAATAATAGCAATAGTAATAAAAATAACATTGACTAAACACTCTCCCTATCTATTATCTACATATAGAGACAGGGAATTATCTTCTAACAATATTTAAAAAAGAGGGGAGGGGAAAGTTAAAAGACATTTCTCCCCATCTTTTGAGTCTAGCAGAATTTTGATACCAGAAACCAGTAAGAATAATGTAAGAAACAAAAAGTATAGCCCAGTGTCAGTCACTGGGATGACGTCAGTCACTGGGAGAAGGGGGTGACAGAGGATGAGATGGTTGGATGGCATCACTGGCTCAATGGATATGAATTTGGGTAAACTCGGGGAGTTGGTAATGGACAGGGAGGCCTGACGTGCTGCAGTTCATAGGGTCGCAGAGAGTCGGACATGACTGAGTGACTGAACTGAACTGAGTGTCAGTCATGATATTAAAAAAAAAAAGCACAAAACACAACCATTTATAAGCAAACAGTATCCAGAAATTTATTTTAAAAAATAAACACAGTGACCAGGTCCAGTTAGTCCTAAGAATGTAAAGTTGCTTCAGAATTTAAAAGACCAATGTGATTTATTATACTAATTAAAAATAAAATCCCTGTCATCTAAAATACAGAAACACAGGGCCCATTTGCTACAATAACTTTTGTAAATTATATAAAAACTGGGAACTTCCTTGAACCAATAAGGAAAATGATCAAAAACTCTAAAGCAAACATTTGTTCAATGATGGAGAGATAAAAACTGTCTCTTCTATGTCAAGGAAAAGTTCAGAAAAAAAAATGGAGAATATATGTACATATATACATATGATGTAGTCTCCCTTTTCCTTTTTATATGTAATGGAAAGATAATTCAATGCACTATGGATTCCTAGAAGTCTCAAAGTTAAACATTATTAACCATGCTTATGATTTAAAACTTATAGTTGAGACCATATAACTAGGATGCCCACTGTTCGAATGATGGAAATACACACTAGAGACACAAGTTTGAGAGACCTCTTGAAGAACTGAATCAAAAAAATTAAATTTATAGCATTTATTTGCCATGACTTTGCTATCTGTAAGGGATTTAGGGCTTACCTTTCTCACTGATGATTTCACAGGTATGAAGCCTGATACCATCTTCACATCAACAATGACCATGTTGGAGCTGGGTCGTTCCCCAGTGTAACTATGAAGTCAAGGTGTACGGACAAGGCAGTCAAACAAAATCCTTTGGACTTCATTCAAGACAGAAGTCTCTCCTGTTTTATTTCTAGTGTTTCCTATCCCTGGCTACCATTCTACTTCACCATCTACTCTATTTGCTTCTGCTATAGTTGTCTGGGGGCTTCCCAGGTGGCGCTAGTGGTAAAGAATCTGCCAGCCAATGCAGGAGACACAGGTTTGATTGCCTGGTTGGCAAGAAGACCCCCCTGGAGTAGGAAGGAAGTGGCAACCCACTCCAGTATTCTTGCCTGGAAAACTCCATGGACAAAGGAGCCTGCTGGGCTATAGTCCATGGAGTTGTAAAAGAGTGGGACATGACTGAACAACTGAGCATGTAGCTGTTTGGAAAACTCATAAGAAGTCATACTCTGCAGGTATGGTGACATCATATTCTCAACATTAAGGCTTTTCAGTTAAGAGTGAAGAAAATTTTCTTTTGAATAAATACTGCAAGAGTTTCTTATTCATTATGTATGACCCTGGACAGTGAAGGTCCTCTGCACCAGAAAATCAATTTCACCATATTTTACAAAAGGTCAGGTAGCAGTTTAGGATTTACCTAATGTTGATGTGAATCTGGACTTTCCTGTGAGTGCTGACTCTATCACAACCCTTCGGGAGAGTTTCAACTTTCAGAGTAAAGGGAGCTTTTCCTTCTTTCTTGGGCAGGATATTATATCTCAAGGATGTCTAAAACAAACGGGGGAAACAAAAGCCTTTATTTTTGTACTCAATCTATTGCTTCTAGGTAATTTATATTTCCCCTTGGTACACATTTCTTTCTCCGTTTTGAAGCTCAGATCTACTTCTTGAGACTTGACCTCCCATTTGTGACACTTCGGAAATCCTGGCAGGTCTCACCTGGATGTACACACATCCCGACCCTGACACGGCTGTGTTGTACTCTCCCGGGATCTTTGGCAAAGCCACCTCCTGCAGCAGTAGACGTTTGGCTTCATCTACTCGGAATTCTTCAGAGAAGGTCTCTGCTGACTTAATGGTGACAGTAGCTGCTTTCTCCCCTTTAGTGAAAGTTGCTGCTCCATATCTGGAGAGTGCCTGGAGAGCCACCACTGTATCCTGAAAAAAGATGGGTGCAGAAATTATAGGAGAGGAAGGTGGCCAAATCATACTGGATATAAACCATAATCATGCTACTCTCAGAGTTACCTAGTCATGAGCACTGTTCATTCACTGAATTTCAAGTCTATTCAGAGTTCCTTATTCATCATGAACTATTCTAGGTACTTTGTGTATGTTAGTCACTCCGTCATGTCTGACCCTGTGATCCCATGGACTGTAGCCGACTAGGCTTCTCTGTCCATGGAATTCTCTAGGCAAGAATACTGGAGTGGATAGCCATCCCCTTCTCCAGGGGATCTTCCCAACGCAGGGATTGAATCCAGGTCTCCCACATTGCAGGCAGATTCTTTACCATTTGAACCATCTGGAAACCCTTAGGTACTTTGGGGAAATGCAGTTTCCTCATTCAAGTAGTTTACAATATACATATGGGACTAAGACTCAAATATTTTGACATAAAGTAGAAGACATTTCAATAATCTATATATTTCTGTGTATTTCTATGAGCTTCACAGGTGGCAGAGTGGTAAAGAATCTGCCTGCCAATGCAGGAGATGCAAGAGACTTGGGTTTGATCCCTGGGTCAGGAAGATCCCTGGAGTAGGAAATGGCAACCTACTCCAGTATTCTTGCCTGGAGAATCCCATAGACAGAGGAGTCTCATGGGTTACAGTCCATGGGGTTGCAAAGAGTCAGACACGACTGAGAATGGAGACATGTAATATACACATTTCTGTAGCAATATTTGTTGGGAAAATTCAGAGAAAGAAGGAGTTGGAGCTAGTATACATAATAAGAGAAGACTGTGAAGAATATGAGAAATAAGATTATCTCTGAATAGTGAGAAAGATTTATGAAGGCAGAAAGGAGGCATCAGGCAGTAACACGGAGGGACATAGTGGAAGTAAAGACCTGGAAAAGAGTGAGCCAATTCCAGGAAAAGCAAAGAGATTTGCCTTATTAGACAAGAGTATTCATGTTTACTGAGGAGAGGAAATATTTTGGGCAAAATAATTTTAGTCTTTGGATGAAAAATGCTACAAAGTATGTGGGATCTTAGTTCCCCCACCAACCAGGGATAGAACCTGAGCTCCCTGCAGTGGAAGCACAGAGTCTGGACCACCAGGAAAGACCCTAAAGGAAGTAATTGTATGAAAACATTGCTTTAGGAAGATTGGTTATTTTATAGAAGAGGATCCACTAAGAAGAGAAATTATGAGAGATTGAATAGAGGACAGAGAAATAACCCAAGTATAAGATAATGAGGCTGAAACCTTTCTGGTGATGCAAGAATAAAATATAAATTAGAAACACTATTCACTTACTCAGCTCTTAGAATATGATTGTGTCTACATAGGTATTAGTACATTTATTTTTCTTCCTAGAGTCTCTTCACAGACCTGAGTGGAGGAGAAGCCCCCGTTGGGGTTCTGTTGCTTGGTGAGCCATCTTACAATCTTTGTAGCCACAGACAGATCTTCTGAAGATGGGGCGGGCTGGGCAGTAAGATAGGCAAGGAGGCAGTAAGATGTCATCTCCACGTCAACAGAAGGAGCCCGGTGTGGACTGTAGAGTTCATTGACTTCTCGAGACTTCCCAGGACGTTGCCAGTGGATTGAGTCCTCTTAGAAATAAAAAAGGATATCATCTTCAGCTTAGAGAACATTTTCAAAAATCTAATTCATGAATGATCCCTGTAATTACAGCTCACCCAGTGAATGGGCATACATGAAGTGAAGTGAAAAAGTGTCTCAGTCGTGTCCAATTTTTTGCGACCCTATGGACTATACAGTCCATGGAATACTCCAGGCCAGAATGCTGGAGTCAGTAGCCTTTCCTTTCTCCAGGGGATCTTCCCAACCCCAGGGATTGAACCCGGGTCTCCCACATTGCAGGCAGATTCTTTACCAGCTGAGCCTCCAGGGAAGCCCAAGAATACTGGAGTGGGTAGTCTTTCCTTTCTCCAGTGGATCTTCCCAACCCAGGAATTGAACTGGGGTCTCCTGCATTGTGAGCATATTCTTTACCAACTGAGCTATCAGGGAAGCCCAGACATACATGAAGTGAAAGTATTAAGTAATCACCAATCAAGCTAATCATTGCCAAGAAAGTACATTGAGGTTCCAGTAAATCACCTCGTGTCTTTGTGTTTATTACATCCCGTGTGACATTAGAAACTGGACTGTTTAGAGGTTTATAAAGTGTGAATTGATAAAATCATTCATGTTACCTAGAGATGTTAGGTCAGTAATAATTAATTTTCTTATAATAATAAAATGGATAGAATATAAGTATGATGTGAAAGTGAAAAGTGAAAGTCATTCAGTCGTTTCCAACTCTTTGAGACCCCATGGACTGATTATATACAGTTCATGGAATTCTCCAGGTGAGAATACTGGAGTGGGTAGTCGTTTCCTTCTCCAGTGGCTCTTCCCAAACCAGGGATAGAACCCAGGTCTCCTGCATTGCAGGCAGATTCTTTACCAGCTGAGCCGCCAGGGAAGCTCAAGAATCCTGGAGTGGGTAGCCTATCCCTTCTCCAGGGGATCCTCCTAACCCAGGAATCGAACTGGGATCTCCTGCATTGCCGGCAGATTCTTCACCAGCTAAGATACTAGGGAAGCCCAAAATAAATGTGAATAAAATAGGCCCTCTCTCTTTGATCATTGGTGTGATTTTTGGAAGTCAATTCTTACCTTCTCTGACAGCCTCTTTGTCTAGTGACTCAAGCAGCTCCTTTCGCTTGGCTTGGTCTCCTGCTAGTGCGAAGGCGTAGGCCAATAACGCCTTGGTATAGACAAGACTTTCTTGGGCCTCTGAGGCAGATTGCCAGGCCCTTTCCAGGCAGAAAAGAGCATTGCGGACAACTGGATGCTATAAGGAAGATAAAGATAAAGTGTATATATGTCAATCTCAATCTCCCAGTTCATCCTGCCCCCACCTTTCCCCTTTGGTATCCATATGTTCTCATTCTCCACATCAATCCTGTTTCTGCCTTGCAAAGAGATTCAGCTGTACCATTTTTTCTAGATTCCACATATATGCATTAATATACAAAATGTGTTTTTCTCTTTCTGACTTACTGAAAATGAAGGAAGACCTTAAGCTAGCTGAATCAGGCTAATGAACTGTCCCCTGGCTAGCCACAGATTAAATGCCCCAATGTGCTTGCACGACACCACAGTTCTGACCAGAGGTTAATTTCCTTTGCGGCTTCCCAAGGGATCTATCATCCTTTATGCTCCAATGAAATATGCTAATATTAAATAATGTGAAAATCACAACTCATTTTACTCAGGGATTCATTTCTCCACGAGTTTCATCCTTACATTAGAGGGAGGTACATTAGAGGGTGGGAGTGGCGGTACATACGGTGACGAGCAACGGCATCTCCAGTAGACCGATGGTGATATAGGCAGAGAGCGTTACCTCATCATCAACCCCACCCTGCAGGATCAGAGGCAGAGACACTCAAACACTCCAAGAGCCATCATCCAGAGTCAGCTAACTCTAATTTCCCCATTGGTTATCTTCACCAGAATGTTTCTTTTCTAGGGTAATATTATTGTTTCCTCCACTTCCTCCTTCACTCCCAAATTCTGAAATCTGTCCCAAATCACTTTCCCTCACTTTTAATGACATAGTGGAGTTTCTTGGACATGCTGTTTTCTTATCATAGGAAACACCTAATTTATTGTTAGGTTTCAAAAGCTTTCACTTCTGCTGTCCTTCTCAAAGTTATGTCACCAGGACTTGAGGAATCCATAGGAGCATCACAGCTCATACATTTCACTCTTCTCAGGGACCAGAGCAAATTTAAAGGCATCACCTTAATAGCATTGTTTAGCAATGATCCGGAGCGCTGGAAACAACCATTTTCTTTCTGCTTCTGTGAGAGCCAGGTAAGGGAGTCTCTGATGTGCGAGTCCTCCACAAAGATGTGTGACTGGGCTTGAGAAAAAGACTTGAGCACAAATGCAGTAAGCCTGTCCAGCAAAGAAGAGAAGGAGACCTGAGGACCATCTCCCTTTTAAAGCTCACTGTGCATCATTGTTTCTAGATAGCTTCACAATTCCATGGAGAAAATTGGTGGGGAGATGACCCTTGAATACTGAATATACTCTTATTTGTCCAACAAACTTCTGAATCTATTTAAAAATCTCAACTTTATTGGTTTCTCCAGAGTTGATACTTTTTTCCTCATAAAATGTTTGTTGGAGACTCAAAGCCTTCCCACCACCCAAATTGCCATTTTCTGAATGCTTTTACTACACCACAGTATCTTTCTGTCCTTCGCCTCCTCTTCTCCCTGAATGCACAATATAGAAACTTCTTTTTCTCTCATTTCACATTATGACACCTTATGCCTTATATTTCTGCTTGAGGGGGCCCTAATTTTACTACTATCTATTGTACTATCTGCCTGCAATGCAGGAGACACAGGTTCTATCCTTGGGTCTGGAAGATCCCCTGGAGAAGGAAATGGCAATCCACTCCAGTATTCTTGCCTGGGGAATCCCATGGACAGAGGAGCCAGGTGGGCTATAGTCCATGGGGTCCCAAAAGAGTTGGACTAAACAACAACTGTACTGTCAGAACAGTGAGCTTTCATACATGAAATGGTGAGATCCTCCGCTAGCAATGATACACATGTGGGTTTTTAAAGGGTAACAAATTTCTACACAATAAGTCCAGGTATCAGAGAAGAGCTATTTCCAGTTATCTGAAATATCTTGGATCTACAGAGAGCATATGGAAATAATTATCTTACCAAGTGTTTCCCTGACTTCTACCACCACGATCCCCAAAGGTGCTGTAAGAACCGTCACTGTGCTTATAGTTCAACTGTCTTTGGTAACCTGAAGAAGAAGGACGTTTGCATAGATTTAGGAAATAGCAGAGACACTGGAGAAGGAATCAGGCTTTTCCATAAAACTCATTGAGGAATCACAGGGAAACTACTATTTTACTACAAAGTCTCCAAGATTTGATGCTGCCATTTAATTCTCTGGTTGTATTGTGAGACATCTTGTTGGATGTCACAGCAAAGGTAATTACTAAATCTTAATTGAAGGGACATTGATTTGAGTTCACTGGAGGAGATATTTAGGAAATCAATTAATGTTTTTCCTTTGGGAGTAATCTCTCACCACTGATGAGGTAGCTGATGGCTCTGGACTTGATCTTCTCAGTGAGCTGTCCTGTCTCATTTAGATAGTTCAGAACATAGATGTTAGGGGTGAAAAGGACCATATTCTGTTCTCCACAACCATAGGGCATCTGGAGAAGATTCTGAAGATTTTGCATTGCAGAGCCTAGTATATCACCTGAGGAATGAAATACAGGAAAAAATTTAGAAGAACTCAGAGCTGATTGATGTTAGGGTAGGAAAATAGATGACTAGCTAAGTGAGAAGTCAAATCATGTGTAAAGGGGAGGACCAGAAAGCATAAGAGGTGAAGAAAAACAAGAAATAGAAAGAGAAATGTGGGAACAATAAAGTAGATGTTCAAAGATTGGAAAAATAGGAAAAAAACAAAATGGCAGGATGTACCTTTTTGGTGAGTCACACATCTGGTAAAAAATGATTAGTTTCATCTCTAGGAGGAAGCATCACTATCTAGCCAATATCTTGAAGGCGAGAACACAAAGAGATGACTCTCCTTACTCTTTAGAGTATATCAAGGTTTAAGGTGTAACACAGCATCAAATCAGCACCCCTTTCCCACTAATACACAGTGTGGTCCTTGGTGCTTTCTCAGTCCAATGCCTAGACTCAGGGACTTTATTAGGAAGGGATGAGGAGATCCCATGCACTAGAGTTAAAGGGATGGACAGACGCTTCTTTTGGGATGGGAGACTCACCCAAAACTGCATATGTCGCCCTGGCAGAACCTTCAACCACATTTGAAGGAAGTTTTAATGACAACTTTTCAGATTCTCCAGTTTCTAATGAAACAAGAAAAATAGACAGAAGGGAGGGAAAAAATGAGAGAAATGTTCTAGTTCTGTTTGCATTTTTTCCGTCTCTGTGATCAAGATCCAACATCACGGTTTTCTTAGGTATTATTTAACTTCTTTGATGCAATCAAAGTTTCTCCTAGAGCCACAATTCATCTCACAGTGAAGTTCATATTAATCATTATATTTATGCTAAATCTCTATAGATCTCTATATAAGCATATACCTTATGTTATACTTATTTCCTTCTCTTTATTGTTTATGTTAACTTCTATTACAGCTAGTGGTTGTAAAAAAATCATATTTACTCCATAAATATGTATTAAGTGTCTTCTATGAACCAGATTCTGTTTTAAGTGCAGTGACATAGCAATTTTCAGAAGCTATTTCCTGACATCATAATAACTTCATTTTGATGTGAGTAATAAAATAACAAATTTTTAGTATGCTAGATACTGATAAGTTCTATACAAAAAATAAACCAGAGTGTTTATATGGTTGAGCTAGTGAGGCAAGGTAAACCAGGAAGTGCAGGGTGTGGGGAGAAAGTTGCCATCTAAATACTCATTGATTAAAAAATAAGGTATTTCCCTGGTGGTCAGTGGCTAAGACTCCATGCTCTCAATTCAGGGGGCCTGGGTTCAATCCCTGGTCAGGGAACTAGATTCACACTTCACAACTAAGACCTGGCCCATTATATCTACTACTGTGGGCAAGAATCCCTTAGAAGAAATGGAGTAGCCTTCACAGTCAACAAGAGTCTAAAATGCAGTACTTGGGTGCAATCTCAAAAATGACAGAATGATCTCTGTTTATTTCCAAGGCAAGCCATTCAATATTACACTAATCCAAGTCTATGCCCCAACCAGTAATGCTGAGGAAGCTGAAATTGAATGGTTCTCTGAAGACCTACCAGACCTTCCAGAACTAACACTCAATAAAGATGTCCTTTTCCTTATAGGGGACTGGAATGCAAAAGTAGGAAGTCAAGAGATATCTGGAGTAACAGGCAAATTTGGCCTTGGAGTACAAAATGAAGCAGGACAAAGGCTAACAGAGTTTTGCCAAGAACTTTCACTGGTCATAAAAAACACCCTCTTCCAACAACACAAGAGAAGACTCTACACATGGACATCACCAGATGGTCAATACCGAAATCAGATTGATTATATTCTTTGCAGCCAAAGATGAAGAAGCTCTATATAGCCAGCAAAATAAGCAAAATAAGACCAGGAGCTGACTGTGGCTCATATCATGAACTCTTTATTACAGAATTCAGACTTAAATTGAAGAAAGTAGGGAAAACCACTAGACCATTCAGGTATGACTTAAATTCCTTATGATTATACAGTGGAATTGACAAATAAATTCCAGGGATTAGATCTGATAGACAGAGTGCCTGAAGAACTATGGACGGAGGTTTGTAACATTGTACAGGAGGCAGGGATCAAGACCATCCCCAAGAAAAAGAAATGCAAAAAGGCAAAATGGCTGTCTGAGGAGGCCTTACAAATAGCTGAGAAAAGAAGCAACAGAGAAAGGAGAAAAGGAAAACTATACCCATATGAACACAGAGTTCCAAAGAATAGCAAGGAGAGATAAGAAAGCCTTCCTCAGGGATCAATGCAAAGAAATAGAGGAAAACAATAAAATGGGAAAGACTAACGATCTCTTCAAGAAAATTACAAGGGAACATTTCATGCAAAGATGGGCACAATAAAGGACAGAAATGGTATGGACCTAACAGAAGCAGAAGATATTAAGAAGAGGTGGCAAGAATACACAGAAGAACCATACAAAAAATATCTTCATGACCCAGGTAATCACAATGGTGTGATCACTCACCTAGAGCCAGACATCCTGGAATGTGAAGTCAGGTGGGCCTTAGGAAGCATCACTGTGAACAAAGCTAGTGGAGGTGATGGAATTCCAGTTGAGCTATTTCAAACCCTAAAAGATGATGCTGTGAGAGTGCTGCACTCAATATGCCCACAAATTTGGAAAACTCAGCAGTGGCCACAGGGCTGGAAAAGGTCAGTTTTCATTCCAATCCCAAAGAAAAGCAATGCCTATGAATGTTCAAACTACTTCACAATTGCACTCATCTCACACACTAGCAAAGTAATGGTCAAAATTCTCCAAGCCAGGCTTCAACAGTATGTGAACCTAGAACTTCCAGATGTTCAAGCTGGTTTTAGAAAAGGCAGAGGAACCAGAGATCAAATTGCCAACATCCGTTCTATCATTGAAAAAGCAAGAGAATATCAGAAAAACATCTATTTCTGCTTTATTGATTATGCCAAAATCTTTAACTGTGAAGATCACACCAAACTGTGGAAAGTTCAAGAGATGGGAATACCAGACCACCTTACCTGCATCTTGAGAAATTTGTATGCAGGTCAAGAAGCAACAGTTTGAACTGGACATTGAACAACAGACTGGTTCCAAATTGGGAAAGGAGTACATCAAGGCTGTATATTGTCACCCTGCTTTTTTAACTTATATGCAAAATATGTTATGTGAAATGCTGGGCTGGATGAAACGCTAGTTGGAATCAATATTGTCGGGAGAACTATCAATAACCTCGGATACACAGAATGACACCACCCGTATGGCAGAAAGTGAAAAAGAACTAAAGAGCCTCTTGATGAAAGTGAAAGGGGAGAGTGAAAAAGCTGACTTAAAACTCAACATTCAGAAAATGAAGATCATGGCATCTGGTCCCATCACTTCATGGCAAATAGATGGGCAAACAATGGAGACAGTGTGTCACTTTATATTTTGGGGCTCCAAAATCACTGCAGATGGTGACTGCAGCCCTGAAATTAAAAGACGCTTGCTCCTTGGAAGAAAAACTATGACCAACCTAGACAGCATATTAAAAAGCAGCGACATTACCTTGCTGATAAAGGTCTGTCTAGTCAAAGCTATAGTTTTTTCAGTAGTCATGTATGGATGTGAGCGTTGGACCATAAAGAAAGCTGAGCACCAAGGAATTGATGGTTTTGAACTGTGGTGTTGGAGAAAACTCTTGAGAGTCCCTTGGACTGCAAGGAGATCCAACCAGTCAGTCCTCAATATTCATTGGAAGGAGTGATGGCGAAGCTGAAATTGCAATACTTTGGCCAACTGATGCAAAGAACTAACTCGTTTGAAAATACCCTGATGCTGGGAAAGATTGAAGGCAGGAGGAGAAGGGGATGACAAAGGATGGGATGGTTGAATGGTATCACCGACTCAATAAACATGAGTTTGAGCAAACTCTGGGAATTGGTGATGGACAGGGAAGCCTGGTGTGCTGCAGTCCATGAGGTCACAAAGAGTCAGACATGACTGAGTGACTGAACTGAACTGAATAGTCAAAATAAATAAATATATAAATAGTTTAAAAAAATCATAAGTGATGGAGACTAAGTAAATCAGGGAGTAAAATTTATAGATATCTAAGGGAAGAGGCTTGCTGGAAGATGGAACAAAACATGAAAAGACACCAAAGATGAGAGCATGCTGGATGTGTTCCAAGATCAGCTTAGGAGACCAGTGTGATTAGATTAGGAGGAGCAGGGTGAGTGGAGGACAGGGTAAGAGGATGTGAAGTCACAAGGGTAGAAAGGCTTTGTAGGTGAGGTTGGAGACATGGTCTAACTTTGAAGGACATGGGAGACTCTTGGAAGATTCTGAACAGAGGAGGGGCATGGTGTGAAATATGGTTTGCAATGATTCTCCTGCTATAGAAGAACAGAGGGAGATGACCAGGAGACCAGTTTGGAGGTGCCTGAGATGATCCAAGAGAGAAAGGTCTAGAGCAGGAGTGAACATGATGAGAAGTGGGAAAATTCTGAATAATATTTAAAGGTAGGACCAACTAGATTTGGAATCGATTGGGTATGGAATAAAAGAGAAAGAATATAACAAAGGACAATTCCAAAATTTTTATCTCCAGCAAGCAGAAGAATAGGATTTCCATCATCTGAGATGGAGAAAATTGTAGGAAAAGCAGCGAGTCCTGCAGGGGTTCAGTTTTGAGCAAGCTAGTTTTGAGAGACCTCTTAGACCTCTAAGCCTGCAAGTGGAGATGATAAGGGAACAGTTGAATACATGAGTCTTAGTTCAGGAAAGAGGTATGGACCAAAGATATATACATTTTGTGGCCTCTGGTACAGTTATTAAAGTTCTGTGATTAGCTGAGATTATCAGGGGATACTTAAATAGAGAAAAGAGGCCATATGTACACTAAGCATTGTTCTAAAGATGATTTTAGATAGTGCAGAGTTGAACATTTTAATAGTCATTTTCTGAATGACTGTATGAATGTTTAGATGGTAATTTTAAGGGTAATCACTAAATATTGTTTTTCTCTATATGTTAATGACCTAAAATTCTTCAAATAATTTGTTAAAAACATGAATACACTTAAGCTATTAAGAATAACCAATAATACTAGTGCCACAAAGATATTTCAATATTTGGAAAATTGTGTAGGAAGAAGTTTGGGAAGCAAGATGTATTGGAAAGAATCCTGTCAGATAGTCATCAGCTTTAGTCCTCATTATTGACCAAGAATTTTTAGGAGAATCTCTTTAACTTTTTGATGCCTTTATCAGGAAAAGATTGTTCTCCATCAAATGTCCTTCGATTTGCACATGGGATAGTATAATTCTTTCCTTTTTTTTTTCCCACCAGAGAAAACATGCCTCCAAGGGCATTTCACATCATATACTTTGGTAAGTGGCTTAACATAAGAATTTTATCTATTTCTGACACTTACCTGATGCACAGAGAAGTGTGTTGAAAGTTTCTTCTCTTTCTATTCCTTCAGGCTTTGTATTGAAAGAGGAAAATTAAGAAGAAACGTTATGCATATATATATATATATATATATGGAATATATATTCCATATGTATATATATATGGAATCTAGAAAAATGGTACTGATGAACCTATTTACAGGGAAGGAATAGAGAACAAACTTGTGGACACAGGGAGGAAGGAGAGCGTGGGGCGAACTGAGAGAGTAGTATTGACATACATATATACTACTGTGTGTGAAATAGATAACTAGTGGGAAGCTCCTGTATAGCAGAGGGAGCTCAGCTCAGTGCTTTGTAATGACCTAGAGGGATGGGATTTGGGGGGTGAGTGGAAGGGAGGATTCAGAAGGAGGGCATACATGTATACATATAGCTGATTCACATTGTTGTACAGTAGAAGCTAATATAACATTGAAAAGCAATTATTCTCCAATTAAAAAATGAATTAAAAGAAAAAAGAGAAGTGATAATGTATCAGAGAAGAAGCAATCACTTTAGAAGAGAAAATGTTAGTGAAAGCTTGAGTTGTGGACATATTCATATTCATGGGAATGAAATGTCACTGCCACAACATGTTAGATAATGCGATTTCCATAATAAAACTTCTGAGACTCAGAGAAATGAGACCTGCATACCTCAACTAGTAAAGGCTTGATAACGGTGTCCTTCTGTCCAAGTTCTGGGAAGTGAGGCACCTCACTGCCACATAGTTCCTGAGACCGCAGGGCTTCTGCAGTAGCTGTGAAATTCACCTCTCCTGGGGAATAAGATTCTTAAGGAATTAAACAGTGATCCTATATTGAATGGTTTCTTCTTTTTAAGTCTCTCCAATATATATAATTGTTTTCTTCCCTTTGATCATTGTCAAAGGAGGAGAGAAAAACATGCATCTGAGTGGGAGTGGAAAGCAATCATTACAACAAAAGAAGTAGGATTTGTGAACACCGTTATCACTCACCCAGTGACTTTGGGGTCACAGCCCAGGACACGGTTTTCTGCTTATTTCCACAGACACAGTGAGATTCTTCATTCTTCTCTACTGGGATGGCCAAGAAAGCAGAAGAGGCCTCCAGCTGCACGCTCACCTGTCCCCCATTCCCACCCACAAGTTGGAGAAAGAACACAGGCAAAAGGTCAGTAATAGGGTGTTGGGGTGGGCGGAGGGGAAAGAAGCTTAAAGGGACAATGCATACTAATGAGAGGCTTTGAAAAGCTGTTCAGACAAGGTAAATCCTGTCAGGTATTTTGTAGTTTAGATGTTTGCCATAAGGACAGGGAGGCCTGGCATGCTGAGATTCATGGGGTGGCAAAGAGTCTGACACAACTGAGCAACTGAACTGACTGACCGATAAGGACACTGAAAAACTGACGGGAATCAGGATAAATACTCAGGATTTAGGCTTGTGCCAACACAAGGAAGAAATATTTTTCTTTTGTTAGAGTGAAAAAATAATCAGGTGGGAGTAATATTTGAATTCAGGAATGCACAAACAAAATAGAGTCCTGGATGACTATAACCTTACCACCTTGGATCTGTTGGGGAGCTTTGTTCTTAGCACCTGAAAGTGAAAGTGTTATTTACTCAGTCGTGTCCGACTCTTTGCAACTCCCTGGACTGTAGCCAGGCTCCTCTGTCCTTGGGGATTCTCCAGGTGAGAATACTGGAGTGGGTTGCCATTCCCTTCTCCAGGGGATCTTCAAAACCCAGGGATTGAACCCAGGTCTCCCACATTGCAGACAGATTCTTTACTATCTGAGTCACCAGGGAAGCCCGGATGATTGTAACCTTACCACCTCGGACCTGTTGGGGAGCTTTGTTCTTAGCACCTATTCCAGTCTAAAATTAGGCCACATCATATTCAGTTATGATTTACTAGATGACCTGGGGAAGATTTAGGAAATGAATGGTGTGTTCCTTCCTCCTACCTTCAGTTACATCCAGACAAGTGCCCTTACCCGAATGCAATGGGACAGATAGTTGAACACAGTGGCTTTGAGTGTGAAGGCTTCTCCTCGAACCACAGAATAGGGAAGAGTGAGTTCCAGGAAGAAGGGCTGGAAGACTGTGAGAGAGATGGTGGGCGAGAGGCCAAGCCCTGCTGTTTCAGACAAGCAGAGGGCGCTGGCCTTCCACTCCGTGATGGTGTCAGGGACCTGGATTGCCAACTCACGTCTGCCCGATATACTAGAGAGGGGAAAAAAGAAGACGAGAGTCAATGAATTCCTTTTCTTAAGTCATAGACCACAGCTGACTCTAGAGCATGACACTTTAGAAACGCAGTGTGATAAATACTAAATTTGATATAAAGTTTGGTGCTCCTAGAGAGGTCTCTGAAATTTATTTTTTTCTTTTTAGGGTCAAGGGTGGCTTTCTATTGTTTGAAGTATCTCAGGACCAAATTAGAAAAACAAAATTGCATTGTTTAGCTATGAGATAAATGAATTATGAGTCTACACATCTTTCAGAAAAGAGTGGGGCAGAACAGAAAGGACTGGGAGCCCTATGATTACACCAGAATCGTAGAGGAGGATTCAAAGCCTCCTACGAACTCAGTTCCAAGCAGCACACAACTTACTCCAGTGGTATCAACTCCCAGATCCAGGTCTCAGGGAAATACTTCCGGATTGTTTCTTTCACTTTCACGGCTGAAGAGTCGTCTCTTGCATTCAATGGATAAGGTAACATTGCAGCTCCACCTACTGGAGGACCAACTATTCCTGGTACGGGGCCTGGTGGACCTGCTGGACCTGCTGGAGCTGTGGAGAGACAAGAGGGCCCAATGTAAGCCTGAGTTTTATCATCGATTTCTCAGAGCCACCTTATGTATCAAGCAGAACAAGGTCATACGCTCAGGGAACGTCTTTTGTTAGAACAATTTACCCTACCACCTTCTTACTTTGTTTACTCATCTATTTGACTTATTGGAAGGTTAATCCTGCTGCTTCATCAAATAGTTTAGAGGCAAATGTATTTTTCTCTAGAAATGAAAACAAATATAACTCTCCCTAAGCTGATTTTTCAACCGGTAAAAGGAAGAATAAAGAGTAGTTTAAATCCCCATATACTGCTCAGATGGTAAAGAATTCGCCTGCAATGTGTGAGACCTGAGTTTGATCCCTGGGTCAGGAAGACCCCCTGGAGGAGGGCATGGCAACCCACTCCAGTATTCTTGCCTGGAGAATCCCCATGGACAGAGGAGCCTGGAGGGCTACAGTCTATGGGGTCTCAAAGAGTCAGACATGGCTAAGTGAGTAAGAACAGCACAGCACATACTGCTTATGGGCTTCCCAGGTGTCACTAGTGGTAAAGAACCTGCCTGTCAATATAGGAGACATAAGAGACATGAGTTCAATCCCTGGGTCAGGGAAGGTCCCATGGAGGAGGGCATGGAAACCCACTCCAATATTCAAGAATCCCATGGACAGAGGAGCCTGTCAGGCTACAGTTTATAGGCTCACAAAGAGTTGGACACGACTGAAGCGTCGTAGCGCAGCACACAGCACAGGGGAAATAGGATTCATAGGCATCTCAGCATGCCTAGAGAAATGTCTCTGTTAGCAGCAGAAGAGAAAATAGAATCTTTTTGACTTTTCCTCTTTTCTATGTATACTTGAGACACACAAGGAGATTAACAGTATATCTGCCAAAAGCTGAATTATTCTATTCTATTATTCAACTTGTCAGAATCACTGACTTCCGTAAAAGAACGACAGAGGCAAATAATATCCATATAATCGTTCACGTTTCTCAGATCCCGTGCAGGTAGGGCACCGTGATCTGTGCCACTTCCATAGCTGGCCGTAAAGTCATGTGCATATCTACTTCTTCTTCCCCAAGACAGTAACCTTCAAAGGCATGCTGGAGATGGATAGTCACAAGATGAAAGCTGAATGAATCTCCTTGACAATGATTGGTCAGTGTTTTGACTACTGGAGGTGTTTTGAACAGCTCCTGGTCTCACAAGCAGTTTTTGTGAGAGCATTAAAATAAACTGTTAGGTGCTCAGACTCTGAGATGTGGGGATTTGTTTGCTAAGGTGGTATAATTTATCTTATCTTGACTAATTCAGATGCTGAAGGCACAGTAGATAAAGAGGATTTAAAGTACCAAGACTGTATTTAATTTTGATTAGAGAGAGACAGAGAAATCATGTTTCATTTTTTTTCTAGAGAAAAAAGTTATTTGAGGAAATTTTACCAAGAAATTGCTGCAGAGTCATAACATTCAATACTTAAGAAAATGGCTTTTTTTCCCAACCCAGCAAAACATTACTTTTCTTCTATTATTTTAGTGGATAGATAACTTTCACCCTTACCATTTGCATAGGTCACAGGCATTCCTGGATATGGTGAAAGTGGCTGACAGAAATATGGCTTGTGGATTTTTGAGTTGGTAAAAATACTTAATCCCGCAGACTGGAAGAAAAATAATTATTAAAATATATTGGCAATCCACTCTGGAGACTGGAATATTTTCTTATGTTTGTATTATACCCTTAACATTATACATAGAACTCATAGGGTTATCGTGAAAATTCCACCCAATGGAGAGGAGACATATTTCATAAAAATGAAAATGGGGTCACAGAGAGTCCAGATCATCCAGTTAATGAATGGGAGTTGAGATTAGAATCTACTTCTGATTCTTGTTTCTGAATTTTGATTCCTGTATGCTTGGTGCTCCTTTAATTATCTTTTGCCTCCAAGAAACTGAGTATTTTAGCTTTGGATGTTTTTCTTCCTTTCCTCCCCCTGCCTCAAACCACGCATTAACTTTGTTGCAGAGAATAGTATTTTGTTTCTTTTCATTTGAAATTGTAGGGTTGCATATTGGAGAATTTTCTTCATAGTCAGTACACTTTGCTTTATTGGGAAATATGCCTTTGCCTGAATATCTGTGTTCAACTCATCCCTTTTGTGATTTATCCTTTCGTTTTTTCTTTCTCAGTTTTAAGTATCCTGAAACTGCATGCAAGACACGCATGCAGACATCCACAGTAGCTTGATTCCTTGATTCCTGTTACAGACTTCCTCCTTCTTCAATATTAGTCATAGTTAAATACTACTTGCTGTCTTCTAAGAGTGCTTGGGAAACTGGGACTCTGATACACAGTTGTCAGTGGTGGCAGTGGTATGGAACAGGGAGAAAGAAGTCAGAAAGAAACATTTAACAGTTAATAAAGAGCTTTTTTTTCTCCCTCCACCACCAACTGATTCTGGAGGCTCCAGAAAAGGGAGGTTTAAACTGCTCTCAGCTAAGGGGCAGACCTCCACAGCAGTGACTGCGCATGACTTCCTCAAGGTATAGTGAGTGTTTTCAGTCCTTTCTGGTGGAGCTAAGATTTAATCTCACAACCTGGATAAACTTCCCCTTTATAACTCTGCCTAACTGTAGTTGAAGATACACATTTGATCTAATATACCTAAGGCATGCTAATGTTTCTACTCCAAGTTTAGTAAATTCTTCTTTATGAACAGCTACTTTCAATTCACCTGAAATTTTACTGCACTGAAACTGTTGGCCGAAGTATTTTACTTTATGTGTTCAGTCATCTGCTGATTCATTTATTGTGAAATGACTGTTAGAGTGGTTGCCAACAGAGTATTCACTTTTAAAGGATGTCAGAGGCTCTGTGGGAAATGTTTGCTTTGGTTTTCTCACATATTGGAATCTCTGAGAATCACTGAGAGGATATATGATGGTGACAACTAGCTTTGGGATCAACTTGGTTAAAGTTGTGGGCCCTAAAAGTATACCCCTTGCTCTTAAAGTGCCAGAGAAATTCATGACTGACTGTGTATGTACAAAGTTCTCCATGCCTCTGACATTTCAATATTTTTCTGTTAGTCATAGCTTTTTTTTTTTTTTTTGGTGGTTGAGAGGAAGATCAGATTCTAGAGCTTAGAAATCCATTTCTTCTCCGTCTTGACGATGAGGTAGAAATCAATTTAGGTTGTGTTTTTAGGAAGAGGAATTACCTCAAAGATACTGTAAACATCGTCATCACTGATGAGCTGCTTTGGAGTGTAAATAACTCCATTGTGAGTTATGTCTTCCGCGCTGATGCATTTTTCCCCATCTTCATTCATGGGGCCTCCATAACCCATGCTAAAGATTCTCTTTACTGGTAGCAAATTATACACCTGTAAAGTAGAACAAAGGAAAAACTGTTATTTATTTTATAAAGTGAGATAATGTTCAATCTGGAGTTTAAGAGATCTTGGTGTTTGTTTAACACTCCCATAGCAACATTATAAAACATGACACAGAAATTATGGAGTGATAGCAAACGTTATGGATCCCAATCCTGTTGTTGTATGAAAGAAAATAATGTATAAAGAAATCAAATATATTGATGAAAGACTCAGAGGTCATTTAGCTTGAGTAAGTCTAAAATTCAAGTTTCTTTGTCTCCCAGTCCAAATGCCTACTTTTTTTGAATATATCTTTTGAATTTTATTTATATTTATTGGTGTATAACTGCTTTACCATGTGGTGTTAGCTGCTGCTGCACAACAAAGTGAATCAGCTATATGTATACTTGTCTCCCCTCCCCCTTGGAACATCCTTCCCCCTCACATCCCATCCCACCCCTCTAGGTCATCACAGAGCACCAAGCTGAGCTTCCTCCGCTTTACAGCAGGTTCCCACTAACCATCTATTTCACACATGGTAGTGTATATATGTCAATTTCCCAGTTCGTCCCACTCTCCCCTTCCTCACCCTGTGTCTATATGTCATTCTCTCTGTCTGTGTCTCTATTCCTGCCCTGGAAATAAGTTCATCACTACCATTTCTCTAGACTCTACACATATGTGTTAATATATTTGTTTTTCTCTTTCTGACAAACTGCACTCTGTTTGATAGACCCTAGGTCCAACTTTTAAAAGAAAGCAAAAAGGTAGAGAGTACAGAGAAGCATGATGAAAGAATAGAAGTCATTCTTATCCATCACCTAGAAACAGCCTCAGTAAATACTTAATTTATTTTCTTTTCCCACTTTATGTGATTACATTTTTACCAAGTTTTTTTTTTTTTTCCCCACAGTCTACTGCTTTAGGATCAAGTTTAACTCAGGAGGAAACTAGATGCAAAGGTAACCTAGAAATAAATTCATTCTAGTTCAGTTTTTGCCTAGTGAGTGCATGCTAAGTTGCTTCAGTTGTGTCCGACTCTTTGCGACCCTATGAACAGTAGCCCACCAGGCTCCTCTGTCCATAGGATTCTCCAGGCAAGAGTACTGGAGTGGGTTACCATGCCCTCCTCCAGGGGATCTTCCCATTCCAGGGATAGAACCTGCATCTCTTATGTCTTCTACATTGGCAGGCAGGTTCTTTACTACTAGCACCACCTAGGAAGCCCCATCATAAGGCCACCTGCTCAGTCGTACAGTATTCAGGCTGTTAAAGACACATTGACACCATGCGGACCTGCTGTCACCTCTTATTTAAGCTATTACCATAGCCTCTTATTTCTGTGCTTTCATTCTTGCTCCCATACTCTGAACAGCAAACAGGATCTTCATGACTAGGTAAATCTAAATCATCACTCTCATGCTTTAAACTCCTCACTGATTTATCACTGCCTTTGCTGTCAATTCAATTCCTGGGTCGGGAGGATCCCCTGGAGAAGGAAATGGCAACCCACTCCAGTATTCTTGCTTGGAAAATCCTGTGGACGGAGCATCCTGGTAGGCTACAGTCCATGGGGTCACAAAAGAGTCAGACATGACTGAACGACTTCACTTTCACTTTTCACTTTGCTGTCAATGCCTAATTCCTCCAGCTTCACAGTCCTCCTCATGATCGTCCTGACTTTCCATCCCACCTACTGCCTCTACCATCCTTTTCTCTCACCACTTTGTGTGAGGTCGTTACCGTTTCCTTGGGAAACACTCTGAGACTTGTTCTCGCCTCAGGACCCTCAGGCTGCTTCCATTCTTTGCATTCCCTGGCCCTGCCCCTGTTATCTGACAATCTAAGAAGAGATCCAAAAATCACTACATTAAAACTTGTTCAACTGTTTTCTTCATCTCAACATCCTGTTTATTCCTCAAATGATACTGACCGACACTTAGAACTACTATGTGTTGATATGTTTTTGTTGCTTGCTTGCTTGCTTAACACATGAGACTATGAGTCTAAAATGGTCAAAGACCACATTTATTTTTCACCATTATAACTCTTATTCTTAGAGCACTATCTTGTAGTCAAGATGCAGTGGATATTTGTTAAATAAATAAATGGACAGTGAAGACTAAAAAACTACTGAGCTCTTTTGCATGTTTTTCATTATAACAAACATCTTTTTTTTTTTTTTTCAGCTGTGCTGTGCAGCATATGGAATCTTAATTCCCTGTGCAGGGATCACAATAGAAGCAGAGTCTGATCCACTGGACCACCAGGGAAGTCCCAGGAAACATGTTTAAAAGACAAGTTTGATTGGAATCTTGTTTGTCCATACTGAAAACAAGTAAGTGCCTGGACTTTAGAGAAAATTTAAAAATTTGACATTTCATATACTATCTTGAATTGTGGTGTGTTAGACATGGCATTGAATAAAATTTTGTTCAAATTCCACCTTTAAAATATATTTTTTGGTGCATGTTTCTATAGTTGCTTAATCTAACTCTGCTGTGTTTTCTTATTTCATAAAATGAAGGTAATAATACCCTCCTTAAGGAATTACCCATTTATTTACTCATTAAAAATGTGTTGAGCCTCTTTTACATGTGAGGACTGTGCGAGGCACAGGTGAGCAAGACTGCTCAGTCTTTGATACACTGTAGCAGACAATGAAATGAAATGATCTGTGGAAAGCATCTTGTACAATGTCCTTTTCAGAAACAAGTAGAATTCAAACTCTTCTGTGACTTAGTGACAGACACTAACTATTGCTGACACTCTAAAGAACTTGTCCTTTGCAGGTATAACTTCCAGCTTCCAGAAATGTCATATCATGTGTGCATTTTCTGATATCTGAGACTGAGATGGGACTCACTGATTGAGGAGAGAGCTCATCTTCAGGCTTCATTAACAGGACACTCTGGTCCACGGCTCGGAGGCCACAGAGAGAGTAAGGAGCAGCTGTGACTTTCAGGCTGGTGTTTGAGGCTGGAAGGCCTTGGGCTGAGGAGAAGCTCAGATTTACCTGTAAGGAGGATATAATTATAGCAATGAATTTTCCAACTGTTACAATCTTAAAACACTCTTCTACCCCAGGCTTCCCAGGTGGTGCTAGTGATCAAGAATCCACCTGCAATGAAGGAGACGTAAGAGATGTGGGTTTGATCCCTGGATCAGAACGATCCCCTGGAGGAGGGAATGGCAACCCACTCCAATATTCATGCCTGGAGAATCTCATGGTCAGAGGAGCCTGGTGGGCTATGGTCCATAGGGTCACAAAGAGTTGGATATGAGTGAAGCAATTTAGCACACAGCACACACCCCAGGAAAGTCCCTTGAATATATTTTGAATTCCTCATGAATTTTCAGATAAAACAAGAGACTTCCAAGAAATAGTGCTAATGGCCACCTGCTTTGAACTACTCCATTAGACTCAAAACTGCTCAGGTTTTGTTATCATTCTCTGCTGTTAGAGATCCTTTGGCAGAAAGTTTTAGGAGCACTACCTGACAGTCTTTTAATGAACATAGGTTCCTTATTTTTCCATTGCTCAAAAAGGGGAGATGAAGAAAAGGACTGGTCTTAAACAAAACACCCACCTCATTGGCAAAACAGTTTTCAATGTCGAGCTTCTCAGTATCTGCTACAACTTCTCCATTAGGTAAAATGGTATAAACAAGTAACTGGGCTATAGGAGCAAAGTTCGATTCCACTCGAAAGGAGAAGGAAAATACCCCTTTTACTGCAAAGTAAAGAAAGTTCAAGATAATAGATTAGGAAGAGGAAAGAGCTTCAATTTTATAAAGAGGAGCCTCTCAAATTATTTTACTTATTTACATGTGGAGTGTACTAAAGTTACAAAAAGACCTGCCTTTATGCCATTGTGCTTGCAGTGAAAGTGAAAGTATTAGTCTCTCAGTCACGTCTGACTCTATGTGACTCCATGGACTGTAGCTCTCCAGGCTCCTCTTTCCATGGAATTCTCCAGGCAAGAATACTGGAGTGAGTTGCTGTTCCCTTTTCCAGGGGATTTTTCCCACCCAGGGATTGAACCTGGTCTCCTACATTGCAGGCAGATTCTATACAGTAGTATTCAGTAAACATATGCTGAACTACTGATATTAATATTTTCCTTAAAGATGTAGATTACATTGTTGATTTCCTCTGCTTAAGAAGGAAAGAACATTTAGTAAGTCTCTGTTTTTAAATTTAAAAAAAAGACATTAAGAAGTCAAGAAAGAAGAACTTCTAGACATCTTTAATGATCTCTATGATCCAGTCAGCACAAGTCTTGTCATATGAATGTGCTTAGTCGCTCAGTCATGTCCAGGGAAGCCTGTCATATGCATGATGGCAAGTCAAAGAATGCAACACAATCTTTACCATCAGGCCATTTACAATAGAGCAGAGATACAGGTACACATGGGCTTCCCTGGGAGCTCAGCTGGTAAAGAATCGGCCTGCAGTGCAGGAGACCCTGGCTTGATTCCTGGGTCGGGAAGATCCCCTGGAGAAGGGATAGGCTATCCACTCCAGTATTCTTGGGCTTCCATAGTGGCTCAGCTGGTAAAGAATCCGCCTGCAATGTGGGAGACCTGGGTTCAACCCCTGAGTTGGGAAGACCTCCTGGAGGAGGGCACAGCAACCCACTCCAGTATTCTTGCCTGGAGAATCTCCATGGACAGAGGAACCTGGCAGGCTACAGTCCACGGGGCTGAAAAGAGTCGGACATGACTGAGCGACTAAACACAAGTACAGGTGCACATAATCATGTACAAAACAAAGTATGCTTCTGATTTTTATAATGCATCTATTTTAGTTGTTTTCTGTGTGAATTACATAGTGTTTAATTCACACACCTTTAATCTTGTTCTATCTGATCTTTGTAGCTTAAATTATTTTAAAGCTGTTGTCTTATACATCTATAGAAGATTTGAGGGCAACTTGTAGGGAAAATACACAAAACAGCAGGGTTAAAATAAATGTGAACTAATGGCTGATTCATGTTGTTGTATGACAGAAACCAATATACCATTGTAAAGCATTATCCTCCAATTAAAAATAAGCTTAAAAAATGAATTATTAAAAAAAATTGAAATAATAAAACTAAAACCATATGAAATTGAATTTCTTAAGCAGGGTTAACATAGGCAGGAATTAATTATTAAGAGGTCATTCAGTTCAATTCAGTTGCTCAGTCGTGTCCGACTCTTTGTGACCCCATGAGTCGCAGCATGCCAGGCCTCCCTGTCCATCGCCAACTCCCAGAGTCTGCTCAAACTTATGTCCATCGAGTCGGTGATGCCATTCAACCATCTCATCCTCTGTCGTCCCCTTCTCCTCCTGCTCCCAATCCCTCCCAGCATCAGGGTCTTTTCCAATGAGTCAACTCTTCACATGAGGTGGCCAAAGTATTGGAGTTTCAGCTTCAGCATCAGTCCTTCCAATGAACACCCAGGACTGATCTCCTTTAGGATGGTCTGGTTGGATCTTCTTGCAGTTCAAGGGACGCTCAAGAGTCTTCCCCAACACCACAGTTCAAAAGCATCAATTCTTCGGTGCTCAGCTTTCCTCACAGTCCAACTCTCACAATCCATACATGACCACTGGAAAAACCATAGCCTTGACTAGACGGACCTTTGTTGGCAAAGTAATGTCTCTGCTTTTTAATATGCTATCTAGGTTGGTCATAACTTTCCTTCCAAGGAGTAAGTGTCTTTTAAGTTCATGGCTGCAGTCACCATCTGCAGTGATTTGGGAGCCTGAAAAAACAAAGTCTGACATTGTTTCCACTGTCTCCCCATCTATTTCCCATGAAGTGATGGGACCAGATGCCATGATGTTTGTTTTCTGAATGTTGAGCTTTAAGCCAACTTTTTCACTCTCCTCTTTCACTTTCATCAAGAAGCTCTTTAGTTCCTCTTGACTTTCTGCCATAAGGGTGGTGTCATCTGCATATCTGAGGTTATTGATATTTCTCCCGGCAATCTTGATTCCAGCTTGTGCTTCCTCCAGCCCAGCATTTCTCATGATGTACTCTGCATAGAAGTTAAATAAGCAGGGTGACAATATACAGTCTTGATGTATCCCTTTCCTATTTGGAACCAGTCTGCTGTTCCATGTCCAGTTCTGTTGCTTCTTGACTTGCATACAGGTTTCTCAAGAGGCAGGTCAGGTGGTCTGGTATTCCCATCTCTTGAAGTTTATTGTGATCCACACAGTCGAAGGCTTTGGCGTAGTCAGTAAAGCAGAAATAGATGTTTTTCTGGAACTCTCTTGCTTTTTCGATGATCCAGCGGATGTTGGCAATTTGATCTCTGATTCCTCTGCCTTTTCTAAAACCAGCTTGAACATCTGGAAGTTCACGGTTCACGTATTGCTGAAGCCTGGCTTGGAGAATTTTGAGCATTACTTAACTAGTGTGTGAGATGAGTGCAATTGTGCGGTAGTTTGAGCATTCTTTGGGATTGCCTTTCTTCGGGATTGGCACGAAAACGGACCTTTTCCAGTCCTGTGGCCACTGCTGTTTTCCAAATTTGCTGGCATACTGAGTGCAGCACTTTCACAGCATCATCTTTCAGGATTTGAAAAAGCTCAACTGGAATTCCATCATATCCACTAGCTTTGTTCATAGTGATGCTTTCTAAGGCCCACCTGACTTCACATAATGAATGGTTAAACACTAAAGTGCTTAAATTTAACAGTTTCCCAGAAATCCAAGGCAAATGGAAAAACAACCATTTACACAGCTATCATCAAATAAAATAAAGTATGCTTTATCTTACAGAGAGAGACACTTCCTTCTCCCCATTTCACTTCTCAAGATACTTAATATATTGTGTAGGATTTTGGAGAAGGACATGGCAATCCACTCCAGTACTCTTGCCTGAAAACTCATGGGAGGAGCCTGGTAGGCTGCAGTCCATGGGGTCGCTAAGAGTCAGACACGACTGAGCGCCTTCACTTTCACTTTTCACTTTCATGCATTGGAGAAGGAAATGGCAACCTACTCCAGTGTCCTTGCCTGGAGAATCCCAGGGACTGGGGAGCCTGGTGGGCTGCCATCTATGAGGTCACACAGAGTTGAACATGACTGAAGCGACTTAGCAGCAGCAGCAGCAGCATGTAGGATTTAAATTCTATTAGTGAAAGTTAAAGTCTCTCAGTCATGTCCGACTCTCTGCGACCCCATGGACTATACAGTTCATGAAATTCTCCAGGCCAGAATATTGAGAGGGTAGCTTTTCCCTTCTCTAGGGGATTTTCCCAACCCAGGGATCAAACCTAGGTCTCCCACATTGCAGGCAGATTCTTTACCAGCTGAGCCACAAGGGAAGCAGGAACTAATTTTGAAGAAATTTCCTCATGAGGAAATTGGGTTTTTGATATGCTATTGGGAACAAACTTACCTGCTCTAGAAAAACCACTATAATGTTTAGTCCCATAAAAATCCATGATAAATGGAAAATTAGAGGGACTGTTCCATATTTGAGTAACTGAAATCAATTTTTTAAGCAATAAAACAATTTAGTAAGAGATTTTTATCTAGATAAGAGATTTTATGGACCCAAGGAGAATCTATGCTGAGCAGGATTTAGAGTGATATGTCTTTATTATGGCCTTGGTTGTCTCATGCTGCTGGGAAAATGGATAAACTAGAAAAAGAAGCTTTCATTTAGTGATAGAGTTAGTAGAAATTTAATAATAGATGAATTTGAAATTCAAAGAATTGCAAGATTTTAAGCACAATCTAAAAGTCATGATTAATTATAAAGGTCTTTTTAATCCAGCTTTTTATGATTATTTCAACAAAGGTGGTGAATAGTAGAGTTAGGTTATTAAATAAAAATCAATCTTCATCTGGAAAATTCTGAAGTATGTTGAAGTGCAATTCTGGCTTTATGTTGTGTTGAACTGCTTAAATAAAAAGGGATAAAGGGCCACTAGAGAAATAGAATGAAAAGAGACCCTTCTTGACACAGTAGTTTATCTTAAGCAACTTGAGACTTTTTTTTTTTGGCTAGCAATTTTTTTTACTTTACGAAATAAAGAAATAGTACCGAATTCTAAGTTATTTCATTAGAATTTTTAATAAAGAATGGGATTTGTTCAAACACACAAGCAGAAGAGTGCACAAAAATATAGCATCTTGAGGGCAATGGCCATGTTTTATTAATGTTTTTATGCAAAGCTCCTATTATGAGCTATATCAAGATAGGAAAATAGACTCTCTTGAAATATAGTTTTGATAGGGAAACTCTTTTTCCAAAAAATTTAACAGTTGTAAATCATAAAGAAATATCTTAACCTTAATTTATGAATTAGTTTAAAAATATGTATTGCATACCCACTGTGTGCCAGGTACTAATGTGAGAAATGGTGTGTCAAAAATAAAAGACAGATATGTTCTAATCTTTATAATACATATTCTTTATTTTTCTTGAAAATATTCACCCACCTTGGGTGAATGGACTTTTCTATCTTTCCAAATATGCTTTTGTTAATAAAAATTGCTTTAGTAAACTGATAGCCTATAATGTAACAAAGAGACTAAACTTACTAAACTTACGTATCTTTGGTAATGGAGTATTTCTTGAAAAGTTAATTAACAGATATCAATGGATATTTGATTCAAGAAAATCCAGAAGGAAAGTATGATCTAAAATAGAGAGGCAGGAATACAAGTGAGAGACTTGAAGATGGTGTATTACTGGCATTTAAGATAGAAGAGGCCATCAACCAAGGAATGCAGGAGGTCTTTAGAAGCTGGAAAAGGTGAGGAAACAGGCAATCCTCTAGAGTTCCAGAAGGAATTTAATTCTGCTAACACCTTGATGTTAGCCCAGTAAGACTTCTATCTACAGAACTACAAGATAGTAAATTTGTGTGGTTTTTAGCCAACAAGCTTTCTACAGAAGCAATAAGAAACTAATACAAAATCATATAGGGTAAAATTTTTCTTTGGTGATTGTTTTCATTTTTCAATTATTTTCTGTATTACAAAAATTTAATAATAAAATGAATATATTTTACTTTAGAAATAAAATTTAAAATATAGAAATGCTATAAAAAGGATTTTAAAAAGTACTAAAATGAACCTAGTATTCTTATTTTTAAAATCAGCTTCCCCATCTTTGGTTGATGTAAGAAAGTTGGTAGCCATTTGCTCTGATGTAAGAAATAGCTAAAGTGTTTAGGGCAATTTAACAGAAAAAAAATAGGAAATCCTGAAAATACTTACATGCTCTTTGTTTAATGTATAACACATGGGTTCCTGATTGAGCGATGCTTCCTCTTGCTTTGATCTGAAGACAGAGGGAAATACGTTTATTATCATTTTAAAGGGTAGTTATTAAACTTACATATTTATAATATACAAATAACATATTTATAATTCACAAATAACAAGAATCTCACTACTTCAACCCAAAAGTTACTTTTGTTTACTAAATTTCTCTTCTGATATTTTCCAATATGTGTAGTTTAAGTAATAAACTTCAAACAATATACTTTAAATAACACATGTAATTTTTACAATGTTTTAGAATTTTCTTACTATTTACTACTTATCTTGGATATTAATATTTTAAATTTACACATTTTTTCAACATATATTTTAAGCATCTATTATATGCAAAGCAATATATAGTGAAGGGAGGTATAAAATATATGTAAGTATTATCTATTGCTGACTTTATTTTAAAAAACAGCAAAAAATTAAAAGTATTTACACTCTCCATGTGTCTGGTACTGAACTAAATGATTTTAAGATTTTTCTTTAATTCTGGCAATAACTCTATGTTGTTGTTGTTCAGTTGCTCAGTTGTGTCTGACTATTTGCAACCCCATGGACTGCAGCACTCCAGGCTTCCCTGTCCTTCACCATCTCACAGAGTTTGCTCAAACTCATGTCCATTAAGTCACTGATGCCATCCAACTATCTCTTCCTCTGTTGCCCTCTTCTTCTCCTGCCCTCAATCTTTCCCAGCATCAAGATCTTTTCCAATGAGTCAGCTCTTTGCATCAGGTGGCCAAAGTGTTGGAGCCTCAGCTTCAGCATCAGTCTTTCCAATAAATATTCAGGGTTGATTTCCTTTAGGACTGACCAATTTGATCTCCATGCTGTCCAAAGGACTTTCAAGAGTCTTCTCTAGCACTACAGCTTGAAGGCATCAATTCTATGGTGCTTAGCCTTCTTTATGGTCCACCTCTCAAATCTGTATATGACTAGTGGGAAAACCATAGCTTTGACTATATGCACCTTTGTAGGAAAAGTGATGTCTCTGCTTTTTAATACACTGTCTAGGTTTGTCATAGCTTTTCTTCCAGGAGCAAGTGTCTTTTAATTTCATGGTTGCAGTCACCATCTGCTGTGATTTTGGAGTCCAAGAAAATAAAGCCTGTCACTGTTTCCATCATTTACCCATCTATTTGCCATGAAGTGATGGGGCTGGATGCCATGATTTTAGTTTTTTGAATGTTGAGTTTTAAGCCAGCTTTTTCACTCCTCTTTCACCTTCATCAGCAGGCTTAGTTCTTTGCTTTCTTCCATTAGGGTGGTGTCATATCTGAGGTTGTTATTTCTCTCAACAATCTTGATTCCAGCTTGTACTTCATCCAGCCTGGCACGTCACATGATGCACTCTGCATAGAAGTTAAAGGAGCAGGGTGACAATATACAGCCTTGACATACTCTTTTCCCAGTTTTGAACCAGTCCATTGTTTCATGTCTGGTTCTAACTGTTGCTTCTTGACCTGCATACAGGTTTCTCAGGAGGCAGAGAAGCTGATCTTGTATTCCCATCTCTTTCAGAATTTTCCACAATTTGTTGTGGAAAACTGTGTCAAAGGCTTCAGTGTAGTCAATGAAGCATAAGTATTCAAGAAAATTAAATACACCAAGGTAGTATTTCATGCAAAGATGGGCACAATAAAGGAAAGAAATGGTGTGGATCTCAATGAGGTACCATTACACGCCAGTCAGGATGGCTGCTATCCAAAAGTCTACAAGCAATAAATGCTGGAGAGGGTGTGGAGAAAAGGGAACCCTCTTACACTGTTGGTGGGAATGCAAACTAGTACAGCCACTATGGAAAACAGTGTGGAGATTCCTTAAAAAGCTGGAAATAGAACTGCCATATGACCCAGCAATACCACTTCTAGGTATACACACTGAGGAAACCAGATCTGAAAGAGACACGTGCACCCCAATGTTCATCGCAGCACTGTTTATAACAGGCAGGACATGGAAGCAACCTAGATGCCCATCAGCAGACGAATGGATGAGGAAGCTGTGGTACATGTACACCATGGAATATTACTCAGCCATTAAAAAGAATTCATTTGAATCAGTTCTAATGAGATGGATGAAACTGGAGCCCATTATACATAGTGAAGTAAGCCAGAAAGATAAAGACCATTGCAGTATACTAACACATATATATGGAATTTAGAAAGATAGTAACGATAACCCTATATGCAAAAAAAGAAAAAGAGACTCAGATGTATAGAACAGACTTGTGGACTCTGTGGGAGAAGGCGAGGGTGGGATGTTTCAAGAGAACAGCATTGAAACATGTATATCTATGGTGAAACAGATCACCAGCCCAGGTTGGATGCATGAGACAAGTGCTCGGGCCTGGTGCACTGGGAAGACCCAGAGGGATCGGGTGGAGAGGGAGGTGGGAGGGGGGACCGGGATGGGGAATACATGTAAATCCATGGCTAATTCATTTCAATGTATGACAAAAACCACTGCAATGATGTAAAGTAATTAGCCTCCAACTAATAAAAATAAATGGGGAAAAAAAAAAAAAAGAAAGGGGGAAAAAAAATATCGCCAGGGGAAAAAAAAAAAAAAAGAAATGTTGTGGATCTAACAGAAGCAGAGGATGTTAAGAAGAGGTAGCAAGAATATACAGAAAGTGAAAGGAAAGGAAAGTGAAGTTGCTCAGTCATATCCGACTCTTTGCAACCCCATGGACTGTAGCATACAAGACCTCTCCATCCATGGGATTTTCCAGGCAAGGGTACTGGAGTGGGTTGCCATTTCCTTCTCCAGAGGATCTTCCCGACCCAGGGATCGAACCTGGGTCTCCCACATTGCAGGCAGATGTTTTACCGTCTGAGCCACCAAGGAAGCCTCTAGAATAAACAGAAGAACTTTATAAAAAAGGACTTCAGTTCAGTTCAGTTCAGTCACTCAGTCATTTCTGACTCTTTGTGACCCCATGAACTGCAGCACACCAGGCCTCCCTGTCCATCACCAACTCCCGGAGTTTACTCAAACTCTTGTCCGTCGAGTCGGTGATGCCATCCAGCCATCTCATCCTCTGTCGTCCCCTTCTCCTCCTGCCTGACCCGGATAACGACGATGGTGTGATCACTCACCAAGAGCCAGACAACCTGGAATGTGAAGTCAAGCGGGCCTTAGGAAGCGTTACTATGAACAAAGCTAGTGGAGGTGATGAAATTCCAGCTGAGCTATTTCAAATCCAAAAGATAATGCTGTGAAAGTGCTGCACTCAATATGCCAGCAAACTTGGAAAACTCAGCAGTGGCCACAGGACTGGAAAAGGTCAGTTTTCATTCTAATCCCCAGAAAGGCAATGCCAAAGAATGTTCAAACTACACCGCACAGTTGCACTCATTACACATGCTAGCAAGGTTATTCTCAAACTCCTCAAGCAAGGCTTCGGCAGTATGTGAACCGAGAACTTCCAGATGTTCAAGCTGGATTTAGAAAAGGCAAAGGAACCAGAGATCAAATTGCCAACATCCACTGGATCACTGAAAAAGCAAAGAGAATTCCAGAAATACATTTACTGCTTCATTGACTGCTTCAACGCCTCTGATTGTGTGGATCACAACAATAACTCTATGAAGTAAGCATAAATACTATCTTTAGTATTCAGGTGAAATGATTGACTTTATTCTTTACAGATGAGATTAAGTAAATTACCTGAGGTTACATAACTAGAAAGCAATAAAACTAGGATTCTAACTTACTGTCAATTATTTTACTTTTTTTAGAATTAAAAAAATACTATATATAGTCAATGTTCCTATACAGAATTTTCTACACATAAGGTTTTTTTTTGTGCATAAGACTTAGCTGGGTAACTACCAGCTTTGTATATTTATAATTTTTGGACATAAGTAGGTACACTGACCTCAAAAGTATCATACCAATTTATAATATGCCTGTCAATGTACTTTTCCCTATAGTCACACACAAGTTCTTGAACTTGTAAATTATTTAGAACTTTTATAGGAGTAAAAGGCTACTGCTATATTTTAAAAATTTTCACTTCTCCAATTAATGTAAAATTCAACTTTTTCCCTAAAGATTATGTATACATTTTATTTCCTATTGACTGTTTTTATTTTTAGCCCTTGTCTATTGATCTACTGAGTTCTAAGAAAAAACATTCTTTTTGACTAATATGTCACCTAACCTCTTTCTTCTTCTGTTCAATAATTTTCTAATGGAACTCAGAAAAAAAAAATGAAAAATACTTAAAGTTTCAGGGGAGACTAGAACATGAATGAAAAAGCATTAATTTGTTAGGAAGCAACTTCTTTTCACTCATAAACACAGAAATGAATTAAAATGATATAAAGGGCATTATTTAGAAACAAATTCCATCTTTTTAGTTGGAACTTCCCTGGTGGCTCAGTGGAAAAGAAACTACCTGCAGTGCAGGAGACCTGGGTTTGATCCTGAATTAGGAAGATCCCCTGGAGAAGGACATGGCAACCTATTCCATTATTCTTACCTGGGAAATACCAGTCACAAAGAGTCAGACATGACTTAGCAACTAAACAGCAATCTTTTTAGGGTTTATGTAATTAGAGAGCTACAGTGGCTTTTAGTCTTACCAAGTAATAAAAGGTTAATTCCCTTTCATCTGTCAGAATCTGTCCATTCAGGATGTAGTGCACCCGAATCTCCAGTGTTTGCCCACAGGTCACAGTACCAGCCACAGGCTCAAACTGAATGTAAGTCTTGCTTGGGGAGAAAATATGTCTTGCAGTATGTGTTGCTGGTAAGTGAAATTCTTCAAGCCACCTGCTATCAAAACAGTTGCTATTCTGTTTGTAAATGACCTAATGGATAGAATAAAGGTCATAAGTAAGTTATTTTTATTAACATTATATATATATATACATACATATATATATATATCACTCTGTAATATGCTGAAGGTTTTTTAAGACCCATGTTTACTTATTTCATTATAGGCTGCCTTCTGAAATAAAACATAATCTATAAACAACTTCCTTTAAGTTTATTTAAAGTTACACTATATGAATTTAGGCACATTCACTCATAATCATGATCAATAATTTTTTCTTAATACCGTTATGGTTGTACATTTCATAATGACATTGGAATATTTCACACAAAATGAAAACAGTGGTTTACCAAAGAAACAATTAAAATCTAGTTTGTAATAAAACTATAAAAATGGTGGATTTTCAAGGGACTATCAAGATGGTTTAATAAATGCCTCCTGAAACTAGATCATCGTCATAAAGTCTAAAGTGAAAGCTTTCCGACAGAGAATTTTTTGTTTCTTATTTTGTATTTAGATTTCCACTTACCCCAACTGAAATGAAAGAAGATGTGAAGTTACTGGTATCAATGGAAATGTTCACCAAACCATGCTCATTTGTAGTAAATCTGGCATTATATGTAAATGTATCCACATTGACCACTACAGTCTCATTGGGGATTGGCTGATCCTTGTCGTCGACTAGAAGAACCTAGAAGTAGGAAAGAGAAATAAGGAAGTGAAAGCTGATTTCAGGTGTTATACAGCAATAACATTTTCCACTCTGTTGTGTTCACTTCTTGACACTTTGGCCATTGTCACTTAATGAAGATCTTAGAATATAAAAGTAAGATTTGTTTTCTGGGCTCTAAAATATTTTTCTTTTTGACATTTCTGTTTAGATAACTTATAAGTATTTAATTGAGAACTGTCAATAGTAGATTCACGGTGTTGCATTCCCCAATTTTCTTCATCTTTGTTGTTCTGTATCTCATTATATAAGGCTTCTTTTTGTTTTTATTGTCACTGTTTAGTTGCTCAGTTGTGTCTGACTCTTTGCGACCCCATGGACTGTAACCTGCCAGGCTGTCCATGGGATCTCCTGCAGTGGGTTGCCATTTCCTTCTCCAGGGAATTTTCCCGACTCAGGGATCAAACCTATGTCTCCTGCTTGGCAGGTAGATTCTTTACTGCTGAGCCACCAGTGAAGCCCTATATAAGGTATTTGCCTTTTAAGTTTTTATAATTTCTTTACTCACTCTAAATAAATGTTTGTTTCTATAATAAATTTTGCTTTTGTATAATAAAAGAATTTTGATTCATTTAAAAGATAAGTTTTGATATAAAGATTGGTTTTCCTAGACGTCACATGCCCCAATTATGGTTATATTGAAAAGAAACTTTACCTGCCCAAAGAAAGGAAGCCCACGTCTGTAATGTGAATCCACTTTCGTAAATTTCAGTTTGCTTAAGGTGTTTGTGATTTCACTTGATCCATGTCCAGTTAATTCCAACCCTGAAGAATAATTCAGAGAAGTTAAACTATTCTATATGTTCTATTCGCCTCACCTCCTACCCCATTCCTGCTTCACTCCATTATAACAACAACAAAAAAATCCATATACTCTTATTCTTTCATTGACATCTATAATTCCTCAATTCTCTGGTTTCACAAATATCCTGCTTGTTCCATCCATGTTCTTGAGGAGTTTTTCTCCTCATTTCCTCAGAGATCTTGCTCTATCTTGCTCCTCTCCAGCAACCATTTGGGAACAACTTGATTCTTCACATTGGCTTAAAAATATTCTTAAATTTCTGTCACAAACCCCTTCCCCAGCAAAAGCCTTCTTTTCAGCACATGGTGAAAAATATAGCCAATACCCAGGGCTTTTTCATTCAGTGATGTGTGATCTGTATTTTGTCTCTATTATCTAAAGCCCTCCTGTCAAAAGAAACTACTTTTTCATTTTCCCCCACTCTAACCCTATGTGTGCTCAGTCGCTTAGTCATGTCCAACTCTTTGTGATCCCATGGGCTGTAGCCTGCCAGGCTCCTCTGTCCTTGGGATTCTCCAGGCAAGAATACTAGAGTGGGTTGCCATTTCCTTCTCTAACCCCTTGTCTTCTAGTTTTATTCTGCTTATTTATTTAATCTTCTGCCTGTAGTTGTTTCAGTTTTTGAGCCCCTCCACCTCTAGCCTCAATTTAGTAATGATACTGAACTTATTTTCAGAACACTTGCCTTTTCTCTTAGGAGGATCTGAATACAGTAAGAATGGTTTCAGATTTACATTTCGGGTCCTGATTTTGCTCATACTTTTATTTTGAAATTGTCCATTGAGTGACTCAGTTGACATTTTGATATTCCAATCTATGATGAATTGTCTTAGACAAATCCTCATCACCATAATTCTTTCTCATCTTTTCCTTATCTTGGTTAATGACATTTCATTTCCCAGACCCCCAAATTGTAGTCTTTGGGGCCATTTTGGATAGTATTCTGATTTAACACATTGTAACATATTTTTCATCTAGCCTGTCCTTTTCATGCCTGCTAAAATTAACTTTTTTTTCTGTTTTTATATTTTTTTAATTGAAATGACAATAAAAAAATAAAAAAGAACAGTGACTATTTTAATCAAACTTTAACTTTACAAATATAAAAATATAAGCAAAGCCCTCTTTTGTGTTGTACAATTATAATATATGCCATGTTCTTTTCTCTGAGTAGTCTAAGTAGTGTATATTCTATATAAAACTACTAAATGGCAATTGGAAAATATTCAATAGCTTGAGGGAATAAACTAAAATGTTTTACTCAAATGTTTTAAATCACATTTAGGATTGACATCCCTTTGAAGAAAAGTGAAATTTGTGTTTTTCTCTATGTGATGAAAACTTGTGATTTTTAAAAAGTGGATAATATTCAAAATAGCATTATGATAATTCTGGGTATGAACTCATATGTTTAATAGCATTAATAGATTTTTTTACTTTTTATTGTTGCCCTCCCTTGTAATTAGCATTGTATGGTTCAGTTGCTATTTTTTTTTATATTTAAGGGTTCTGTTAAGTTAGCATTTTATTTGGAATTGACAATTATTTTATTTATTTATATGAATAGTTTTTTTGGAATTAACTTAAAAATAGTTTATTAGGTCATTCTTCTTAAATATAGCTGAAGATATCCAATGCTTTCATAATAAAGTCTAACCTCTGTAGTATACAATTGACTTTTCTAAACACCTTAGCACCAGCCTACTTTAAAGATTCCTTTGGGACTGAAGACATTTGTTCTATGCATATTATGCTTTTCTGGTGCATTACTGTTTCAAAATACAATCCATTCTATTCAGATCTGCTCAAATGCTACCTTTTAGAAGTTAGTTTTGGTCTATATTAGAATAAACTATCTCTCTTCACACTCATTGTGCCCTTATTTTTTTAACACTTCCTGTGAAAACTTCATGGTGCGTGCTAAGTCGCTTCAGTCGTGTCTGACTCCTTGTGACCCTATAGACCATAGCCTGCCAAGTTCCTCTGTCGATGGGATTCTCCAGGCAAGAGTGCTGGAGTGGGTTGTCATGCCCTCCTCCAGGGGATCTTCCCCACCCAGGGATCAAAGCTGCATTGCCTGCAATGGCAGGTGGTTTCTTTATCACTAGTGCTACCTGGGAAGCCTCCAAAGTTTATTATGGTTATATATAATACATAGATACATATATACATAGCCATTTATATGTATAATTTCTTTCTAGATTCCTAATTCCTTGAGGGCAGAGACCATATCACTAACACAGTCCCCAGAAACTAGAAAGTATTTTACATGGATTGAATGTTTGATAAATGTTTGATAAATATATAAATAAATTAATATACATTTAATAATAATACAAACCTGTTCCCTCCTCTCTGACCTTGGCTTCCACTTGTAATGTATTCTCATATCCTTTTTGTCTCAGCTGAAATGATTTAGCATTTACTAGTTGTGTGAAACAACCTTCATTGTCTGCCTGAAAAGAAAGGAAGAGAAGTCCTGGGTCCTCTGATTTGTGATTTAAAAAAGTCAGTTATCAACCAATGACGATTTTGTGCTGGCCACAGAAGAAAATTTTACAAATGTTTTGTTCACCTTTTGGGTGCTTATTTTTTCCCCCAGGCGATACAAAATTTATTCATTAATCATTGCATCAATCATTGCCAAGCTTAGCCTTCTCCCCTCGCTTCTGAAAGTCTATCCCATTTCTGTCATATTAAACTTTCCTTCCTAGGTGGCGCTAGTGGTAAAGAACCTGCCTGCCAATGCAGGAGACACAGGAAATGCAGGTTCGATTCCTGGGTTGGTAGGATCTCCTGGAGGAGGTCATGGTAACCCACTCCGATATTCTTGCCTGGGAAAGCCCTTGGACAGAGGAGCCTGGTGGGCTGTAGTCCATAGCGTTGGAAAGAGTTGGACAAGACTAATGCAACGTAGCTCAGTGTTTCCCAACATGCCATGGTATTTTGCAATTTTATCTCTTTGTGTATGTTGTTCCTTAAATATCTTTTCTTGCTTTCTCTCTCATTGTGGCCAACAGTTACAGCTCTTCTAAACTCAACTCAGACATAACATGTTCTAAGAAGCCTCTGTAATGATCTCCACCTAAATATTGACTGTAGTTGTTCAGTGGCTCAGCTGTGTCCGACTCTTTTGTCACCCCATAGACTGTAGACCACCAGTCTTCTCTGTCCATGGGATTCTCCAGGCAAGAATACCGGGTTGCTGTTTCCTTCTCCAGGGGATCTTCCTGACCCAGGATCGAACCCACATCTCCTGCATTGCAGGCAGATTCTTTACTGCTGAGTCATCAGGGAAGCCCAAATATTGACTAGGGACTGTTAACTGTGTTTTCTTGATATCTAGGACATTAATGAAAGCACATATATTTACTGACTTCTGCTGCTGCTAAGTCTCTTCAGTCATGTTCGACTCTGTGCTACCCAATAGACGGCAGCCCACCAGGCTCCCCTGTCCCTGGGATTCTTCAGGCAAGGACACTGGAGTGGGTCGCCATTTCCTTCTCCAATGCATGAAAGTGAAAAGTGAAAGTGAAGTTGCTCAGTCGTGTCTGACTCTTAGCGACCCCATGGACTGCAGCCTACCAGGCTTCTCCCTCCATGGGAGTTTCCTGGCAAGAGTGCTGTAGTGGGTTGCCATTGCCTTCTCCATTTATTGACTAGATGAATCATTATAGAAATTAGATTTTTAAACTAAACTTTGGGTTCCATATTATAATAAAGATTTGTTTTCATTTTTGTACTTGTTTGCATGAAAATATTCATTGCATAGTAAAATTTAGTCACACTTAATTTGGGCTTCCCTGGTGGCTCAGATGGTAAATAGTCTTGCCTGCAATGCAGGAGACCAAGGTTTGATCCCTGGGTCCAGAAGATTCCCTGGAGAAGGGAATGGTTACCCATTCCAGTATTCTTGCCTGGAAATATTTATTGCACAATAAATAAATATTTATTGCACCAGTTTAATTCATTTAATTTACTTATATACAGATGTCATGACTCATTTGAAAATGAAAATGAATCTTAGTCTCCCTGATTTGATAAAGATTTTGACAGCTAGATTTCTCTCATGTTTATCTTGCTTATCAGTATTCATCTTAACCTTCATCATCATGTTCACCACCTTAGCCTTTCATTCTGCAACTTAGATAGCTTGTTTTTCCACACCTGACGATGTCTGCTCACACTGCCTCACCTTGACCTTTTGTGTACTCTTCCTCTGAAATCAGTAACTCATACATTTCATTTCTTAATACAACATGTCCTGCTGCTGTTTTCCTTACATCTTCTCTGATGTAATCGAGGACTCCTGTCCATCTTTTCTCTTGGTACCCCCCCCTCTTCAACCTGATGCTGATCTCATAGACTCCTACATGCAGGATAGATTACATAGTGTCACTTGATTCTCCCACTGGCCCAATTCTTAACATTTGCCATATTTTCCTCCTGTTTTCTGTTTGATTAAAGCCAGCTTTGGAGACTTCCACATCCTTTTAGGCCCGGACACCTGGCATTTTGATTGCTGTCAGAAGGAAATTGCAAAACTGGCCAAATAAATACTATTGTAAATCCACGAGGCCTATCTTCAAGTGGGTTCTGATTATTGCCAGGCAAGCTTAAAGTATTTCCCTTATTCCACAGTTTTCCTAGGTGACTAATTCTAATACTACTCTCACATCACATTGTACTATGTTGCATTGTATTGTGCTCTTTATTGTATTATCAGTCACAAGAAAGCAAGATCTGGTGTTAGTGTCCTGGGGAGAATGGTTTCCATATACCTGTTGACTGAATTCTTCACAGATGCTTTGTGGATATTTTCCATGGCAGAGAGAACTGTACTGTATATATTTTCTGCACACATTAATCGTCACCAGGCCATGGACAGGCTTTCCATATGTGTATCTGTAACAATAAAGTGGTCATACAAAAAGATATTTAACATAAATAACTCACATTTCCTACACATGATTTGATCCATTCATCTTACTCATCTACAGCAATTGCATTTCCTTTCATAGCATTAGCACTTTAGAAGTACTTATTCTGAAAGTGTCTTATCTACACCTCTAAAAGAAAATATTTATGAGTACTGAATTGTTTTTTGAAACACCTCCAAATGGAAAAGTAACAATGTGGTTTTTCTCAGATCTTGCCTTCCTCTCAGTTGAGGTTTGACTATAAAACTGCCTATTTCCTTCTTTCTCTGCTGTCATATTATCTAAGTTATGATTCTAGCTTTGTCAACACCTCCAAAGTCATTTTAGGGAAAAAAAATTAGGGAAACATAGAGAGTGTATTTCTTTTGTTTGTTTGCTGGTTTTATTTTTTAAGATTTTTTGTTGTTGTTGTGGACCTAAAAAAAAAAAAATCTTTCCTGAATTTGTTACAATATTTCTTCTGTTTTATGTTTGTTTTTTTGGCAGCAAAACATGAGGGATCTTATCTCCCTAACCAGGGATTGACTCTGCACCCCCTGCCTTGGAAGGCAAATTTTTAGTCACCGGACCATCAAGGAAGTCCCAAGAGTGTATTTCTAAGTCTTCCCTAACTTATATATGTTTTAAGAGGATAAGTGAGGAATTAAATGGGAAAGCACTAATTACAGAACAAAAATATTATAAATGAACTGTATCATGATAGTTGGATTCTGCCAAATCTGATGGAAGGATGTGATGTATGGCCTGAATATTTATGTCACCCTGAAATTCATGTTGAAATTCTAAACCCCAAAGGATGATAGTTTAGGAGGTGAGGGCTTTGGGAGGAGGGCAAAGTTCTCAACGGCTGAGTGCCTTCATAAAAGAGGCTCCAGAGAGAATTCTTGTCCCTCCTTCCACATGAGGACATAAGAAGATGCTCTGAACCAGAAAGAGGACCTTCACCAGAATGTGACCATGCAGGCACCTTGATCTTGGATTTCCCAGCCTGTGGGACTGTGAACAGGAGGAGAAGGGGATGACAGAGGACGAGGTGTTTGGATGGCATCACTGACTCAATGGACATGAGTTTGAGCAAGCTCCGGGAGATGGTGAAGGACAGGGAAGCCTGGCGTGCTGTAGTCCATTGGGTCGCAAAGAATCAGACACAACTGAGCGACAGAACAACAACAGAAGTGTGAACAATACATTTCTGTTGTTAATAAGCTCCTCAGTCTGTGGTATTTTGTTATGATAGCCTGAACAGACTAAGGCATGAACTCAGTCTATTGTTTCTTAAAGTATGTTTTCCAGACCACCTCCATGGACATTCCCTGAGACATGAAGTGAGATTTAGAGTACTGAATCCTTCCTAAGATTTAGAGGTGGGGCCAAGGAATCTACATTTGAACTAAGCACCTCCATAGATTCTGATGCATGCTTAGGTTTGAGACCCCGTCCAAACTGTGAAGTAGGTTAAGTTTGGTCTCAGAAAACCCAAGCTTCCTCTTTTTAGTGTCTGCTCCCCCTCAAGTTTCTATAAGTGCTGATAAAGTAATAAATTTTTTACTAAATTTAGTCACTTTGTTGAATCTTATCTTTAAATCTGAAGCAAAAGGCTTTCTCCCTGATGAAAAATTGTAAAGAATCAGAGCTGGCGAGAAGGAGGAAAACACACATTTTTCATGTTGTTTTTAAAAGCAAGCAGTAAATCCAAACTCCTTGATGTAGCTGGAGGGGACTTTATTGCCCAAAGGCAATCAGGGAAGAAATAAATAGCATGCATTTTTGTTTATTTCTTTTTTAAAATTTCATTTTATTAAACCAGAATATAGTTGTTTTACAATATTGTGTTAGTTTCTGCTGTACAACAAAGTGAGTCAGCTATACAGAAACACATATCCCCCTTTTTTTTGGATTTCCTTACCATTTAGGTTACCACGGAGCAGTGAGTAGAGCTCCCTGCACTATACCATATGTTCTCATTAGTTATCTATTTTATGCATAGTATCAGCAGTGTATACATGTCAATCCCAGTCTTCCAACTCATCCCACACCCCTTTCCTCTTTTGGTGTCCCTGCCATTTGTTCTCTATGTCTGTATCTCTATTTCTACTTTGCAAAAAAGTTAAATGACATGCATTTTTAATTCTATATTAATGTATCCAGAATTTAAGATAGAGGGTCTGCTTAACTTCTTTCTAGCTTCCCAGAATTTAAAAAAATTGGGACAAATAAAATTAGAGATAATAAGACATGGAATAACATGGGAGCTATGAGCATGGGCTCCAGAATTAGATGGTTTGGGTTCATTTTAGCCCAGTGTCTGGGATATAGAAATGCTTCATGCAGCTATATGTATTTTTTTTGTTACTTGCCAAGGCAATATAGAATTATGAAGAAAGGTTCAGGGTCTGGAGCCAGACTGTTGGATTTAAATTCCAATCTGCCATTTATTGTCTGTAGGAACTTGAACAAGTTAGTTTATTCTTTATATGTTACAGTTTCCTCATTTGTAAAATGAGAATTATTATCCTTATCTCACAAGGTTAGTGTAAGAACAAAAATGCAAATAAGTGCAAGGCACTTTAAACATTGCCTGGCACATTTTAAATGCTCAGTTAATAATTTTACTAACAGTAGTAAACATGTTGCATGCTATCACCCCTGCTCCTTGGTCTAAGCGCAGACAAGTTGGAGAGACTCGTTACTTCTTTAATTAAAATATTTGGAAGGTCAATAATTGTTATGTGCAATACAAACAGGGTAGAAAAATAGAAATGAGATGAAAAAATGTAACTCACAAGCTGCAGACAGAAATCTCAAATTCATCTTCTAGGAAACTAATCTTCTTGGGCATTTTCACTTGGACCTCAAATTTGGGCAAAACTGTTGTCAACAAAAGGGAAAAAAAGAAACACAAATGTGAGAGCAGGCAGAAAGTCTTGCAAGAGTACTAGTAATGATTCTATTACAGAATTTTGTAACAAAGAGTCACATGAAGTGATTTCAATTACAATGAGGAGCGGCAGGTCACTATTGGCAAAAAGAAATGTCATTCATACCCACGGGCAGTTAGCACCATGGTAACTTAGGCTGGTATTATAGTTCCTAGACTCTCCTCAGAATTTGTCCAAGATTTCAAAGGTGGGAGGGAAACAGCTCCATTAGTCTCTGAAGGTCACCACGATTAGACATGCTCACAGGTGCAGAGGGGCCAGAAACTTTCAGGTTGTCCTTATTTTTTTCCCTGTCTGTTCCAGCTCTTCTTCCCAACTTCTAACCCTGCTGACTCATAGAGACCCTAGGCCCACCACCAGATCCCTGGTTACAGAAATGCCACAGTGGGAGGAGGGAGAGCTAACATTCTCGCATTGATTCTTCTACCAGCTTCCCTCAGTGGCCCACTCTGGAATCTGAATGTGCCCTTGTAAGTTCTGATCTGCGCATCCTCACCCTGGCTTCAGGAAGCCTGGCTAGTAATTTCCTCTGACCCACCAACTCCTGCCACCGGACTCAGACTCTTCCAGCCTCCCCCACGCAGTTGTATATAAGGTTAGTTGTCCTTATAATTGATCCCTATTCTCTAATTCTCATGGCAGTGCTGGTGAGAATGGAGAATCCTGTTTTTGTGTAAGCCTCCTATTCATGGCAAATAGATGGAGAAAAGTGGCAATAGTGGCAGATTTTATATTCTTGGGCTCCCAAATCACTTCAGATGGTGACTGTAGCCATGAAATTAAAAGCCGCTTGCTCCTTGGAGGAGAAGCTATGACAAACCTAGACAGTGTATTAAAAAACAGAGACATCACTTTGCTGACAAAGGTCCATATAGTTGAAGTTATGATTTTTCCAGTAGCCATGTATGGATTTGAGATTTGGACCATAAAGAAGGCTGAGCACCGAAGCATTGATGCTTTCGACTGTGGTGTTGAAGAAGACTCTTGAGAGTCCCTTAGATAGCAAGAAGATCTAATCAGTCAATCCTAAAAGAAATCAACCCTGAATATTCACTGGAAGGACTGATGCTGAAGCTGAAACTGCAATGCTTTGTCCAGTTGATGTGAAGAGCTGACTCATGGGAAAAGGCTGTGATGCTGGGAAAGACCTAGGACAGGAGGATAAGAGGGGGCACAGGATGAGATAGTTGGATGGCATGACTGACTCAATGGACATGAGTTTGAGTGAGCTCCAGGAGATAGTGAAGCACAAGGAAACCTGACATGCTGCAGTCCATGGGGTTGCAGAGTCGGACATGACTTAGCAAGAGAACAACAACAACTCCTTATCCACAGCATGATGTATTTAACTTACATTAGAAATTCCACATGACTGATAACTAATAAGATGGTTTCAATGTCTGAGTACTATTATTAGCATAGATTACATATAGGTTACAGACAGCAAGGATGTAACCCCAGAAAATACGTCCTGTTGTAAGATATAGATCAAGAGATGCATGTAGATAACACAATATATTGGTTAACAATTTACGTTTGAATAGGGTCGGTGGGATCTATTAAAATCTCTTTTGCTTCTTGGCTCCGTGATTTTGGTAAATTTTTAACTTCTCTAGTATCAATATACTCATTTGTAAAATACAGATGGTATAGTATCTGCCTCAGAGGGCTGTTGTAAAGATTAAATGAGATAGTTGCATGAAATGTTTGGCAAATATTTAGATAAATAAAAATACTTGCTACTTTTCAATTGTTATATGCCAGATTTTTGCTTGTCATCTACATGTAAAAATGATCCAATCTTACATTCTTTAATGTCATAAATGTCTTTGACATGTGTGGAATTCTTACCGTATTCATTCACTTTAAAAGAGTGCTTTATTGTTTTCCCAGGCTCCTTCTCCAGTACCACCTTGTAGGAACCCAGTGTGGGCTCCACTGAGAGTGGGAAAGAGAGCTGACTGAGTCCCCCTTGCAATTTGAGACTGAGCCATTGGAAAATCCGGTTCCTTTTGGGGTTCTATAGGTAAAAGCATCAGATATATATTGAAGCAATTGAAATATATAGTTTTGAGTAGAAGGACAGATTTTCAGGGAGAATGAAGTAGGCTAATTAGCTGGTTGGTAAATTGGCACCAGAAGTATTATCAAAGGTTTCTAGGAATTCTAGACTGAGAAGAGGGAAACTTGCCCAGCTGAGATATGACAGGTGAGAGTAGCTCTTTTTGTGATTATGCATACCCATCTCGGTCAGAAATATTGCAAGAGCCACTACATTGCATCATCTCAGGGTATTTTGTTCCTTCATTGACATCTTATCCACTCTCCCCAGGATTTATGACAGACAGGGAAAACAGTGTTTATTTAGTTCTGGAGAAGTGCCAGTGGGGAAGGAGAAAGTGGAAAGAGGTGTTAATATAACTCACAGTGAGTCCTCATTCCAAGTGAGAGACACAAGACATTACCTACCTCAATATAAACCACAGGGAACTGAAAAGAAAACAAATAGCATGAATGTGAGATAGAGTATAGAAAGACAAAACTGTGACACCAGCATTAAAACAGTATTGGACCAGCAGGAAGTGAGCCTGCCTATTCAGTTCTTGTCTGGATGAGGACATGTGGCCCTGTTTGAGTCATAGCACTTCGTATGTTTCGTCTGGGACATGGTCTCTGAAGAAATCATGGGGCTTCCCTGGTGGCTCAGTGGTAAAGAATCCACCTGCCGATGCAGGCGACAGTTTCGATTCCTGACTTGGGAAGATCCCACATTCTGTGAGGCAACCAAACCTGTGTGTACCAACTATTGAGTCTGTGCTCTAGAGCCTGGGAACCATAACTGCTGAGCCCAGGCACCTTAGAGCCTGTGCTCTGCAACAAGAGAAGCCACTGCAATGAGAAGCCTGTGCACTGCAAGTAGAGAGGAGCCCCTGCTCTCCAGCTAGAGAAAAGTCTGAGAGCAACAAAGAGCCAGCGTGGCCAAAAACAAATAATTTTTTGTTTTTTTAAAGAGAAGGAAAAAACCATTCTTAAACAAACAAACAAGCAAACAAAAGAAATCATGATTTCATTTTATGAAATAATGCAACCTAGACTTATGTAAAAAGGTCCAAATAATGAGTTTTATTTTGAGGTTAACTTTTATCTGTGAGAAATTCTCCATTTCTCTTAAGAGAGATATCGAATGCACTTATTTTCTTTTGCCCTTTTAGAATAATTGAGTCTTTAAGGAGATAATTTCAACTGAATATTTAATTAACTTTAAGAATGTAGTTGAACTTATCTCCCTTATCCTCCAATAGCCGTATGCTTTGGAGAACTTTCTGTGGTAGATTTAAGTATCTCATATTGGTCTTAGGTTCTCCAAAGAACAGGTTTTACATTTTGGCCTTTTTTTCTGCCAGTCTTACTGCTGGGAAAGATGTAAGGCAAAAGAGAGTAGGATATGGTTAGATAGCATCACTTACTCAATGGACATGGACTTGAGCAAACTCTGGGAGTTATTTGCAGGACAGGGAAGCTGGTGTACTGCAGTTCATGGGGCTGCAAAGAGTCAGACACAACTTGGCGACTGAACAACAACAAAACAGCCATTGTTATGAGACTCACCGTTTCATTCAAAGGGTGAAAGTTGACATCCATGGAGACAATGCGGAATTTCACTGAAACACAGAGATTTTTCTCATGAAAGCCACCAGTGGAAATTCAGGATGATAACACAAATAACAATGTGCCAGGATTTCCTAAAGGTAACAGAGAACCACACCTCCAACCCTTCAGATTGCCTTTGCTTGTTTGGTTCCTTATACCTGTTTGTCCTGGCTTGTAGATGGGTTTGTCTGTCTGGACAAAGACTAGGCTTTCTTCTTTTCTAATGTATATTGGCTTCCTCTTTATGAAGTTCTGGGTTGGCCCTTTCACCTGCACAGTTATGAATGCTGAGGAAGCTGACTTTGGAATCTGTAAAACAGAAATGAGCTGAAGAATCTGTCCAGATCCACTTCTGAATGTCTCATCCTTTGTGACTTTCTCATTTCTCTGGTTAGTTCCATGGGAATTAGTAAGGGCTAGGCTTCCTTGGTGGTTCAGATGGTAAAGAATCCACCTGCAATGCAGGAGACCCAGGTTCAATCCCTGGGTCAGGAAGATCCCCTGGAGAAGGGAATGGCTACCCACTTCAAGATTCCTGCCTGGAGAATTCCATGGACAGAGGGGCCTGGTGGGCTACAGACCACTGGGTCACAAAGAGTCAGTTGGACACAACTGAGAAACAGATACTTTCATTTTCATTTTTTCAGGGTCAAATGGAATGTCCCCTCCTTTATAGATTAATATGATTGTGTAACATGAAAGCAGCAATTTATTGATTTCATTAAAGGAGAAAAGTCATTGCAATAAAAATGAAATAATTCTTCAACCAGTCATGACAATGAAGGCAATAACAAGTTCTCATTTTGACAGTAATATGGTAGTATTAAAATAATTTTTAAAATATATTTTCTAACAGTCAAAAGCAGCACTGTATATTATTATTGGTAATAAGCTGGTATGATTAACTATTTAATACTCTAAGTTAGAAAAGTTTACAAGGACAGTATATTAACCATCGATCCCAGGTGATTTGGGTCACTAAACTTTATGAATCTATGTGTTTATATCTACAAAGGCATGAACATTATTTACCTTCAAAGTTTGCTTTAAGAGCAAATAAAATCCCTCCTATAACCATTATTATCTTTTGTATATTGCACCAGTTGTGTTTGTAAATATTATGAAAGTATATTCAGTAGAACTTTTATCTTTAGACTTATTTGGAATTCATTCTGTACTCCTGAGTTTTCTTCATTTTTCTATTTTGTATTTTATTTTTTATTGGCATATAATTGCTTGATGATGTGCTAGCTTCTGCTGGACAACCAAGTTAATCAACTATATGAATATACATATCCCCACCCTTTTGAGCCTCCCTCCCATCCCTATCCCACCCATCAAGGTCATCACAGAGCACCAAGCTGAGGTTTTTTTAATTGTTGGGGGTCAGAATCCAAGGCATAAGCTAATGTGCTCTCTCTGTAATAATTTCCCTTTCCCCAAGGAGGAATGCTGACCGTGAAGGAGCGGCAGTAGAAGGAGTTTTTCGCCTCCAGGTCTGTGAAGAGAATCCTGCCCTGCACCTCATATTCCAGAGTTACTGTCAGCGCCACTGTCTCATTGAGGTGATTCAGCAGGACGCAGAGCTTCTCAGGAACACCAGCATACAGCTGTGATGGGATCAGCACCAGGTACTGCCTGTGGAGAAAAGGGGTCTGGGTCAGCCTTGGAGAGGTTATTGTGGTTGTTTTCTAGATAATCTTTGCTATCTTCATCAGTCACAGAACTGAGTTAGGTTTCAGCAGGAGTGCAAAGGAATATATTCTTCAAAGGCCAATCCAGAGACCTTAGAAACTCAGAAACCCCCTACCAAGTTAAACACCCATACATTTCTCTGGTATTGTGGAAATAATCACCCTTACAACATTAGCAAACCTATTCGTAAGCTATGGAAAAGCACTCCATGAGTTCTTATATATTTTGGATAGAGGTAATTTTCTAAATTAGAAATTTTCAGTGAACCAAGAAAATGTGATCTCACACACACACACACACACACACACACACACACACGAACACTATTCAACCTTAAAAAAAGAAGGAAATCCTGCCCTTTGTGACAACATAGATGGCCCTTGAGGGCACAATGCTAGGTGAAATAAACCAGAGAAAGACAATTATGTCTGGTATCACTTACATGTGGAATCTTTTTTTAAAAAAAGTCAAACTTAGAAACATGGAGTAGAAAAGTACTTTCCAGTGGCTGGGAGGTAGAGGGAAATAGGAATAGGTTGGTAAAAGGGCATACACTTTTATTTATGAGGTGATAAGAGCTGAAGATATAATATCTAATGTGGTGACTATGACTGATAACACTGTATTATATAACTGAAATTTGCTCACAGATCAGAAATTAAATGTTCTTACCTCTCCCTCAAAAGTAGATAGCTGAGAGACAGATGTGCTAGATAAATCATTAGATTAATCTATGTGATAGATTAGTTAGTTCAATGGGGAAAATCTTTCACAACATATATGTATGTTGTACACATTAATATCTTACAACTTTAATTCTCAGTAATATGTCAACAGTCCTCTCAAAACACTTTTAATTTATTAACAAACAATATTATTGATAATTAATCATCACTGAAACCAATAAGAGAATCTGTCTGTGTGTGGTCTTGGGTTTCGTATGATGGTATCACAAATCACTTTGTTCCAGGAAACATTAAAGAGATAACAATTCATGGAGAGGAACTGAATCTATTTTCAATACTGTTTCAGAAGCAACCTTACCTCTTTTCTTTCTTCCACTATCTGCAGATAGAAGACAAACTAGGTTAAGCATCAGATGTATTACCACACACACCCAGAAGACAATTCCTCTGGGATTCCTCATTCCTCTGTTGATGTTTATCTATCATTTAGAAAAGTCCAAACATACTGTACTCTGTGATGCTCTGGTGGTTTATGCTTGTCGATCTATCTGAAATGTCCTGGTCTAGCTGGAAAACTTCTATTTGCTTCATAAGACTCATCTCAAAAACAGCTTCCTTATGTAGACTTTGGTGATGCCCCTTGGTTTATATCAGTTCCCATGAGGAGTTAGGTATTATTTGTCAGTATTCCCACAGAGGGCTTCCCTACTGACTCAGGAGATGAGGGTTCGATCCCTGATCCAGGAAGATCCCCTGGAGGAGGAAATGGCAACCCACTCCAGTATTCTTTCCTGGAAATCCCCTTGGACAGAGGACTTTGGCAGGCTACAGTCCATGGGGTCGCAGAGTTGGACACAATTTAGCAACTGAACAACAACAATTCCCACAGAATCCTGGTTCTGTTTTTGCATTTTATTTCATTCCCTGTGCACCATCTCTCTCTCTTTCTCTCTCTTTTATACTATGGGGTACTGAGGTCACAGACCAAATTTTGTTGATCTGTATGTTCTCAAAATCTAATGCTAGCCTTTAAAGATTTGGTGAAGGATTGAGTGACTTGGCACACAAATCCTGGCTTATCTTTAGGTCTTATCCATCTTGGGAACCCATGACTTGGAGGAGACACAGATACTATGTCACTTTGCAATGGCCAAGACAAGACATTGTAGCCTTTTTCATTAGCCAGTAAAGAATTTATCTTTTTTCTTTTTTTTGGTAGGAATTATATGTTTTTATTTGGTGAATATTGTAGAATTCCATCATCTTCGTAGGTGAATGCTTCAGAAATATTTCACAAATATTATTACCTTGTGTCTCTGAGTTTTCTAGAACTGGAGTATACCTTTTACCACCTGTGGTAATCATTTTCAATGCTTTTCAACAGCAGAAAATTTCATAGAGAATTAGGAAATAAACAAAAAGACAGACATCAAGAAACATATAACAGAATGGGAGAGAAGAGGGCATTAGAATTTTCTGGAAATGTTGCTTACGGTTTGGAGGTAGCTGAAGCATCTCTGGGAAGGAGCAAGAAAAGCAGAATCAAGACTGGATTAGGCAATTGATGTCCCCTCATGGTGTAGAGAGGACCAGGAAAGAATGGGAATCTGAGTCCTTGATTCCTTGAACTCTGTTCTTGTTCCAGAATCCCTGGTTTTTATTTTACCTGATGGATAGTGAAAGTAAACGGCTAACCATTTATTTTTGTAACATATTAACTACTTCCAGTATAAAAAAATCAATTGCAGATCACTTCCATCCAATTGCTCAAATTTTCAAAGGGTCTGAAAAAGAGAATGTTGAGACTACATTAGTTGTGGTTGTTAATCAGCACTTTAAACATCTTTAAGAAAAAAATCAAAATAAATGATATGATTTGGTGAAATTAAGAGCTACTTATGTAAATACACAACACGGATCTTTTCCTGGAAGTCCAAGGAACAGCACATATTCCCTGAGCGTCAACCAATAGAATTCTTTAATGAAACAAAGGAAAATTTATCCCAGAATTTTAAACAAAATAAATATAATCTCTCTATTGTTTGAAAGCTTAGTTTTCACTTTTTATAGCTATCTTTATATTTATTTATAAAGAAAATGAACCCACGTAATACATTATTATAGTTTCTTAGTTCATTTAACATCTAGAATATAAAGCCAATTAATTAATTTTATCTGCTAAGAAAATAACCTTTAGAATCTTTAAAAAGATGGTACAAATGAACTAATTTACAAAACAGAGTTACAGATGTAGAAAAAAGCTACAAAGGGGGACAGCATGAGAAGAGGGGGTAGGGATAAATTGGGAGATTGGGATAGACATACACACTACTATATATAAAATATGTACTAATAAGAACCTCCTGTGTAGCACGGGGAACTCTACTCAGTACTCTGTAATGATCTATATGGGGAAAAAAGTCTAAAAAAGAGTGGGTATATGTATATGTAAAATTGATTCACTTTTGCTGTAAACAGAAACTAATACAACATTATGAATCAACTATACTCCAATAAAGACTAATTTAAAAAATAAAATTCCAATGATGATAATAAACTATGAGTGATATAATGCTAGGTTAAAATAAACTGTAAGAATACTTGTGTGAGGCCTTGGTACTTGGCAAATGCTTGCTGAATGAAGATAAAACTTTCAGCTTCATTTGGTTTCTTCTCTCATTAGAAACTATGCTCTTTCCACTTCCGCCCTGTATTCCTACACTGCCATAAATAAATATCTTCATTCTCTGCCAGCTTAATGTGGAATAAAGTAACATATAATAAATAATAAATGATTTTCAACAATGCTCCAAGTAACTTTTCATAGGCGTAATTATACTTTTTTGGATATATACCAATCTCTTACTTTAGCCAAACGCCTATTGACTAAGTATAAAAATCCACATTTTGATGAAGCAAAATCACCAT